GCATACAGAAGAACTCTCGGCCACGGGTGGTGCTCAAAGGCGTCTCTTCCTAGTGGCGGTTCTTCCTGTTCCGTCAGAGATAACCATAGGGGACATTGCGCGTTCACACGTGACGCGAATAGATCCACCTCGGCTCTCCCGAACTGTTCCCAAATTTGGAGAACAATGTCCGGATGCAGACACCACTCGTCGTCTCGAGGACCCCCTCTTGACAAGCTGCTCTCAATGAGCGAAGGTGCTCGTGAGCCCACAGCCACAATTCCTCTGCCGCCCGATGGAGAGCAGGAGACCTGACTCCTCCCTGGCGATATATGTGGGCTACTGTGGTCCGGTTGTCTGACCAGACCAGCACATCGCGACCCCGAAGGGTAGACGCGAAGTGGGTCAAAACCAGTCGAACCGTTTCCAACTCCAAGAGGTTGATGTGGCGACTCGAAAGAGGCCACACACCTCCTATCGCTTGGGTCTGACATGTCCCTCCCCATCCCGTCAGAGACGCATCTGTGAACACTGGGATGTAAGAGGACACTTTGCCTATCGGGACTCAGTGCGTGAGAACGCGCGGGTTTCTCCAATAGTTCAGATCTGCACTGAGCGAGAGGGGAACCACCACCAACCGATGACGTTGACGCAATGGGTCTTAGTTGGGCGAACCGTCGCTGCATCCTGCGCATGTGCAGAGTCCCAGCAGAACCACAGAGTGGGCTGACGACATGAGACCCAAGAGTGACATGATCGACAGCGCCGTCACCGTGTGAGTCGGACGACACTTCCTCAGGGCAAGCAAAAAGGTTACCCTTCGGGGGTCTGAAATTCGAGCCCTCATCATTACAGTGTCTAGCTGTATCCCCAGGTAGACAATCTGATGACTGGGCCAGGGCGAGCTCTTTTTCCAATTTCCACAGCGAACCCCAGACGTGTGAGATGAATCACTGTCTTTGTTGTGTGAGTGATCGCCAGCTCTGCTGACGGGGCGAGAACCAGTAGGTCGTCTAGGTAGGCTAGTAGCCGTATTCCCTGACGATGCAACGGTTCCAATGCCACCTCCACACACTTGGAAAACGTGCGAGGTGCCAGGGCGTACCCAAATGGCATCCTCGTGTATTCGTACGCCACCCCTTGAAAGGCGAATCGCCGAAACTTCCTGTGACAGCCCAAGGCGGGCCTCCCATGAAAGGGAGAGGAAACATTAGTGCGTTCTGAACCAGAAGGAGGGGCAGAGACGTCAGTTAAACCCGTAACCGTCGTATTCCTGCCCTCCGTGAACGCAGCGTGGGTCTGAGTTGCACTGACCGAGGCCACAGCCTGCGACAGGGCACCATCCCCAGCATGCGATTGCGTCATCGTAGATGACTGCAATTCGCTATTAGAGCCCCTCACTACAATACTCCTAGGAGTCTGTAATATGAGGTCTCTATGAGGTAACACAAGGCGGCGCCTTGATACCTTCTTAACCTTCACCTTCTGTGTGTGTTCAACTCTGCACCTCTGGTGGGTTGAGTCACGCTCAGTGTGGTGAGTATTAGCGCGTTCTGTGAGAGGTGGGGGCGCCGATACGTTGGTTATTCCCGTAACCTTAGTAATCCGGCCCTCCGTGAACGCAGCATGGGTCTGAATCGCACTAACCGAGACCTTAGTCTGCGATAGTGCGCCATCCCCGAATAGCGGCTGCGTCATCATGTCTCCTGACTGAGACTGCAGCCTGCTATGAGAGGCACTCACTACAATACTCCTTGGAGTCTGTAATGTGAGGTCTCTTTGAGATAACCTAAGACGGTGCCTTGGTATCTTTTTCCCTTTCACCTCCTGTGTGTGCTCAGCTCTGCACCTTTGGTGGGCTGAATTACACTCAGTGTGGTGAGCATTGGCGCGTTCTAAGAGAGGTGGGGGTGCCGATACGTTGGTTACTTCCGTGACCGTGGTAATCGGGCCCTCCGTGAACGCAGCATGGGTCTGAATCGCACTAACAGAGACCTTAGTCTGCGATAGTGCGCCATCCCCAAATAGTGGCTGTGTCATCATGTCAGTGTCTGACCGAGACTGCAGCCTGCTATGTGAGACACTCACTACAGCACTCCTAGGAGTCTGTAATGTGAGGTTTCTATGAGGTAACACAAGGCGGCGCCTTGATACCTTATTATCATTCACCTCCTGTGTGTGCTCAGCTCTGCACCCCTGGTCTTCCATTCTCTCCCCCTCGCCATGTCATAAACGGCGTCTCTTCTGGCCGCCCTTCGGGTGATGCCAGGATGACGCTTTAATGACCTCTCTCGCCGGCGGAATGGTCGGCACCTCTGGCGCTGCAGGGGAGGGGGGCGAGGCCCGCTCCCTTGCTGCTGGAGGCCGCCGTCTGACGCCAAGCTGTAGCGAGAGTAACGGCCACCCTCCATCATGTCCACTTCCGGGTTGGAGGGCAGCTTAATCTCCCGCTGTTTAGCAGCCCACTCAATGAGACCTGAAAATTCAGAGCACAGAGAGGCTGTGGCGTCATCATCCAGGGATGTAAATGACCTCACACTTTCCTGAGGGAAAAGGGGTGTTAAACATCTGGGTCAGTGTAATGAATTGTTCCAATAGAATATTCATTTCTTCCCCAATAGCCCTGTCATCTCCTGAGTCAGCACCTTCCAGTCACTGAAGATAAAGGGAGGCTGATTGAGGGGAGGCATCCCCTCTTATAGGGACACCTGTACTCCTATTGGCTGCAGGTGTGTGCATAATTTTGTCTCAGGCTGATGCTGCCTTAGGGCAGTGGGTAAACCAATAGGAGCAGAGCTCCCCTATGGGGCGGAGCTCCACGATATAGAACCTACTAGCTCACCGCAGGTCAGTTCAAATACCGAGGATTTGGAGAAAACAGCCGTGGCAATTGACGTGGGGATTTTAACCCCCTTTCAAACGCAGTGCTGATCCGAAAAAGGTACCAAAATCTGTCATTGATGTTCTTAATTACTGCATGATGCGTGCTCTGTATGATGTCGCTCACTGTAATATTTATTGGAGGACATTTCCTCAGTCATTTACAGTCACTTTGGACTTAATGGCTAAACTGCTATTCGTTTTGTTCTGCTGCATCCCTTTATGAAATAACACCTTAAAAAATTGTTTGGCAGTCACATCGTTGTTGCAAATGAAACAATATATTTTTGCTATTGATACGGTATGCACTCACTAACTGTAAGTCGATCTGGATAAGAGCGTCTGCTAATAAAATGTAAATGTAAATGTGTTGGTATCTGGCTTGGCTTTGATTTGGCCTGCTGGACAGTAGCAACAATATGTGAAGGTATCAAAAAGTTTTGTGTCGCAGCTGCAGTAAAATGCAGCTAAGCTCGATGTTTTTATCTGCATAGTGTTTGTTTCTTGCTACACGTAACAGTTACATGTTGCTGGAAACAATTGGTTGATACGTTATTGTACACATGTTGCGACAATGTTACTATTTCAAGAGAAGAGTTGCCTACGTGCAGAACGTTAAGAAACATAGCTGCAGGGCTAGCTAACTAAACTCATATCCATGGTAAAAGTTCATTGAGTTTAGTCAGCTACTGCAGGGCCAGAATAAATAAATGCCAGATGTGGAAAATGAAACTCAAGCAAATGTAACTTCCCTTTATACCAATCTTTAATTTGCAGTCAGACTAGTTATATGGCTTCTAGGGTAGGAAATCTATTTTTGATGAGGGTGCTCCCGAAAATCCCTGCGATGGGGGAGGGGCATGAACGTGGCAGTCTTGTCTCCCTGAATTTCACTCCCTGCCCTGAACCTCTCCAACAGTATGCTATACATTCAGTTTATGACTCATTCTCAAACATTCCCAGTCAACTGCTGTAATACGTCAGGACTAGTTTTCTTCAACCAATTAGACAGCTTGTATACAATATGGCTGTCAGCTTGTGTTATTGAACAATTATAAACTGTTTTAGTGAAGAGTAATAGCAGATTACAGACACATCACCTCAGCTTGTCCTCACGAGTTTTCTTAACCTAATAGCCTAGCTGTTGGTAGTCTTGTAGCATCACATCTCTCACATTCCTGACCATTTGGTGATGGGACCTACTGTTCATTTCCCTAGACAGGGTTGAGTGATGGGTCATCTGTCCTGGAAATCTGTTTACCTGTTGCACATCTATTTCAAGGGTACCTATCAGAAATCTAATCCAGACCAACATGAAAGAAAATTAAGCCCATTGGCCTGTTTATTTACAGTACCTACTGGACTCCAGCCCCTTGTGTGAACTTGTGCACTCTCCCGGGTATTTGACTGCCCATCGTAAATACTTGGGCTGCCCAAAAGCCTTTCCCTCCCACCTCGACCCCCCTCTGCTCCTTGCGCTCTTTGGGATACAGCTACTGCTTGAACTGGCCAGCATGTGTACTCCATCATCCTAAAAGCTTCAAATGCCCTCTGGCCAAACGGAGGACTGACCTCTTGTCTCAAGCAGTCACTGTGTGACTCAGCAACTGAGTATCAGTCTGTGTTTTGAATAGATAGACATTGTATAATGAAAACATATTGTTTCATAGACTAAAAGTAACTGAAAATCCTCACTTTGAGTCTACGAAGTGGATTTTTAGGAGCAGCATGAGGTACACAATAGTAATTGTGTAAGGAACTAAGGCCTTCTGGGAGCAATGAAAGGACCAGAGTGGGTCACACAGGGGGCATGAGTTGGCATTGGTTACATATTCACTGGGTGCGTGCAGACTCAGTGGGATCTGGAGGCAAGCCTGGCAAAACCATCTCCCAGTATAGGCAACAAATTAATAGAAGCTTCTGCTCAGCCAGTTAGCATGCTGAGACACGCAAAAATATTTTGATTGGTGCTGTTAGTTTCATCAAAATATTTTTTATTTCAGAGAAGTTTCCTGTCATGAGATCATCATCAGTGGATAGTTGTCCAAGTGCCCTTACGTCTCACAGGTATTACTATGATCTGTAACTGACTAATAACCTGTCTACCTCTCTCTTACATACCCCTGTGCAGCAGTGCAAAGATGGAGCTGAGGGGTGTTTGGTGTGTGTTGTTGACTTGTCTCTTCTACACATCCTCCGCTGACAAAGATTTCTTCACCTCCATCGGTAAATATCTCCCTCCCTCTATTTTCCATGAACAATCCTTTATAGACCCCTTTATTAAGTCATTTTAGGGCAATTCCATGGTAATGTAATTGCGCTGAGACTCAGATTTTTTTTATGCCAAACAAAAAACATTGATTTCAAAGTTGAACAAACCATACAACTCTTTGCACATGGACTACTTTTAACAATCCGAGAGTTTGGGACTGTAAGGTTCTATCTGCATTGTTGTCAAAATGGAGTTATTGACATAGCCTTGTTCTGTTCAATGTTCTCCACCTATATTGTACTATAAATACCCCAATTCATATTGTTAAGTTTAAATCAATACAAGATAAAAATTGCTGACAGCATTCAAACCAATGAGAGTTTGGAACTTTAAAGCCAATTATCAAATATTTTTTGCAGATTGAACCTTATAGTCCCAAGCTCTCGAATTTACACTAAACATTTTATAAAAACACATGTAATGGAAGAACTGTGCAGATGCAAAGTTTGGTAAGAGCATTTCGGTAAAATCTCCCTCAGTTCTTTATGTGTCCACGCTTTCCAAAAACAATCTGCTCCGAATTAAGATTCAACAGTGTCTGCAGAAAGAATGGGGTGTCAGATATGACATGACACATTGACTGTGTGTGGAGAACAAGGAGGGGAGGCAGCCTCGGCGGAAGTCGTGACACTTCGAAATAATCTATTTTGGTTATTGAACCACAGTAAATGAAGTGGATTCACACCCGGTTACGGAATTGCGGTAATGGAATTTCATCATGGTTCCCTGATCTGTACTGCACAGAAATGCATTATTATGGATATGAATGTCATTCTCGTCATGGTGATGTATCCTGAATAGGTACACAAAGGTATAAATATTTAATATCCTCCTTTGCATATTTGGGTATTATTCTACACACTGGCTATTATTTTAATGTGCTCTGCCCCCAAACAAGACCATTTTGTTGGTCCGAACCGGACCACATCTGAACTACGTCTATGTTTCACAAGTCTGGACATCAATGTACAGCACAGTAGAGCTCAGTAGAGTACATTAGAGTACAACACAGAACACTACAGCAGAGTACAGTAGAGTTCATACAGTACAGTAGAGTACAGTAAAGTAGTGTATAGTTCAGTACAGTATAATACAGTACATTATAGTGTACTCAACTCTAGTGTGCTCTACTGTGTACTGTACTGAACTCTACTGTACTATACTCTACTTTTCTTGTCTGCTAAATGACTTAAATGTAAATGTGCTCTACTGTACTGTACTTTACTGTACTCTATTGTACTCTACTGTACTCTGCTGGACTTTACTCTTCGGTCCAAACTTGTGAACCCAACTGTGGTTTGTGAATACTATGTTTTCCCATTGTAGCAAATTCAATAGCAGAAATTCTGTTACAAATTTGGGAACGGAATTTCGAGTTTCAGTCACTTAATAATTAATAAACTAAATTGATATCAGTAAAAACACTATAACTAATTGATAGGTCTACCTTTACTTGTTACTTCTGTGAGCTTTCATTATAAAATATCATAAAGACGTGGGTTTTTGGTCATGGAATGTCAAGGCACAAGGCAATGTTTCTTAAACTTACAGAATGCAGAAACATTTCTCCAAAGCTAAATATAAGTGTTGATATTAGTTGGCAGTGGTCTTTACTTCAACATTACTGTGTTTTGATGTATTTCTAATACATTTGAATACTTTTTATGGTAGATGTTTTCTAACACCCCTTTTTCAATGTTTACCAGAAATCAAAGCCTTTGCTCATTCCTATTTTTTGGGATGGAAAATGGTTGAAAAATGTATATATGCCTTAATGTCACCAAAATATAGACTCTGAGCTTTTATTTGACACCCAATTTGACATGCTCCTGTGATCTTCACATGTTGGTGCTCATGGGTCCTTTTACATGTAAATTACCTTTATTACTACCATCCTGTCTTGGTCACAAACCTTGACCCTAGGGGGAGAAATGTGTTTATCACAGAAATAAGCATTACAAACATGTATAGTTATTCTATGTATTCAACATTTGTACAATCTTTGACCCCAGTTCCACTGTGTTCCCCAGGTCAGATGACAGATCTGCTATACACAGAAAAGGACCTGGTCACTTCTCTGAAGGATTACATTAGAGCAGAGGAGAGCAAGCTGGAGCAAGTCAAAAAGTGAGAGGAAAGCCCCTGTCCACAGACCTTTATCTCTTTATCTCTCTATCCCTATCTCGCTATCTTTTTCACTCACTCTTACTTTATCTCACGTTCACAGGCTGAGGCAGGTCATAAAGTGAGAGCCCAAATGCCCAGATAGCTACTCTCTCGTTCTTGCTCACTTTTCTCTCTCACACACAATGGTATAAATACTATCAAAGAGAATAATTTACATATCCTGCTTCACAATGCCACCTGTACAATACCACCTGTACAATACCACCTGTACAATACCACCTGTACAATACCACCTGTACAGTACCACCTGTACAGTACCACCTGTACAGTACCACCCTCAGAGGGTATTGTCTCCTCTCAGCCTATTGTGTTACTATAAAGAGACGCCGTCAACGAACCAACAGGGAAGGTGAAGTGCAGGACATGACGTAACTGTTCTCTTATCTATTGTCTTTCAATGGCGCTGATGGACAGGCGTGTGTGCATGTTTGTCTCTAGAGGGAGTACGTGAGTGTATATATGAAGTTGATATATGTAGAAATACATCAGACAATGAATCACTGTTTGCTTCTATGAGTCATATACTGAATGTATTTTCCCTCCATGATGTGTCCAGGTGGGCTGAGAAGCTGGATGTGTTGTCGGCCACGGCCACTCAGGACCCAGAGGGCTTCCTGGGCCACCCGGTCAACGCCTTCAAGCTGATGAAGAGACTCAACACAGAGTGGGGAGAGCTGGAGAGCCTGGTCCTCAAGGACATGTCTGATGGTCAGGATTACTCATGGGCCTCTATTATAATGACTGTATAAATGCTCTATTACCACATAAAGATGAAATCTTCCAAATCATTGCTAAGTGCTAATTGACAAGTTATTAAAAAAATATATATATATATATATAATCAGTTGCATTGTTTTGCCATCACTGAAGTGATGGAACAGGGTATGTTTCAGAGAGGAGTGAGATTGTTCTCCAAGCATCTTTTAGCATCTATACCACCTTGAGTGAAGATCTCGTATAATAGAATTGAGCTTCCTAACTATATTTCCTTCCAATACTCCAGGGTTCATCTCTAACCTGACCATCCAGAGACAGTACTTCCCCAATGATGATGACCAGACGGGGGCAGCCAAGGCCCTAATGAGGCTGCAGGACACCTACCGGCTGGACACGCACACCATCTCCACGGGAGAGCTGCCTGGTGAGGGGTGTTGGGGGCAGGGAGGTAGAGGCTTGGGGCTTAAATCTAACCAATCAAATCACATTTGATTTGACACGTGCTTCGTAAACAACAGGTGTAGACTAACAGTGAAATACTTACTTACAGGTCCTTTTCCAACAATGCAGAGTTAAAGAAAAAATAGAAATAGTGACACAAGGAATAAATACACAGTGATTAAGGAGTTAAAAATTACATGGTTATCTACAGGGAGTACCAGTACAGAGTCGATGTGCAGTGGTACGAGGTACATATAGGTAGGGGTAAAGTGACTAGGCAACATGATAGATAATAGACAGTAGCAGCAGCGTATGTGGTGAGTGTGAAAGTGTGGGTGTGAGTGCATGTGTGGCGTCAGTAAGTCTGTGTGGGCGTATGTAGTGTGTGTGTTGGGGTGTCAGTGTAAGTGTGTGTGCATAGAGTCAGTGCAGGTGAGTTAGTGCAAAAAAGTGTTGGTGTGTGTTGGGGTGTCAGTGTAAGTATGTGTGAGTGCATAGAGTCAGTGCAAGAGAGTTAGTGCAAAGGGTCAATGCAGGTATTCCGGGTGGCCATTTGATGAGCTATTTACCAGAGCGACTTACAGTAGTGAGTGCATACATTTCCTACTTGTTTTTCTCGGACTGGTCCACCGTGGGAATCGAACCCACAACCCTGGCGTTGCAAGCGCCATGCTCTACCAGGCTGCCTCATCATCGTTGGTGATCAGTCCTACCACCGGCGTGTCAGCAAACTTGATGATGATGTTGGAGTCATGCGTGGCCACGCATTTATGGGTGAACAGGGAGTACAGGAGGGGACTAAACACACCCCTGAGGGGCCCCCGTGTTGATGGTCAGCATGGCGGATGTGTTGTTGCCTACCCTCACCACCTGGGGGAGGTCCGTCAGGAAGTCCAGGATCCAGTTGCAGAGGGAGGTGTCCAGTCCCAGGGTCCTGAGCTTGGTGATGAGCTTGGAGAGGGGACTATGGTGTTAAATGATGAGCTGTAGTCAATGAACAGCATTCTTACCTTGGGTATTTCTTTTGTCCAGGTGAGTGAGGGCAGTGTAGAGTGCAATAGAGATTGCGCTATCTGTGGATCTGTTGGGGCGGTATGCGAATTGGAGTAGGGCCAGGGTGTCCGGGATGATGGTTGATGTGAGCCATGACCAGCCTTTCAAAGCATTTCATGGCTATAGATGTGAGTGCTATGGGGCGATAGTCATTTAGGCACCTACTGGCTGGAAACACATACCATCTCCATGAGGGAACTGCCTGATGATGGGGTTGAGGGGCAGGCAGGGAAAGGCATGTGGAGGGAGCTGCATACCAGGAGTGGATTAGCCGTGGACTTGTTACCGGCGGAGGTTCTGTTATAGCTTCAGTGATAGCTGCTCCTACTACTGTTGCGGAGGGAAATCCTGCACAGTGCTCACCACATGCAGTGGAAAGCCCCATTTAGTCCACATGAATGCTTGAAATCCCATGGAATGCCATGTAAATGCACTGTATGCAAATGGCTGCTGAGATCCAATCTATCTGGTGATGAGATGAGTCCATGTGTGTGTCCATGTGTGTCACTCTGCACATGTTAACATCTCCATGTCTACACACAGGAACTAATACGGATGTCGCTATGAGCCCTATGACGGTGGAGGACTGCTTTGAGCTGGGGAAGATAGCCTACTCTGATGCAGACTACTACCATACGGAGCTGTGGATGGAGCAGGCCCTGAAACAGCTGGACGGGGGAGAGGAGTCCAACGTGGACATGGTGACCATCCTGGACTACCTCAGCTACTCCATCTACCAGCAGGGGGAGCTAGAGAGGGCCCTGGACTACACCAAGAGATTGCTCAAATTGGGTGAGTGGATATTTGTGATATTTGTGTTTCATGTCTTGATTGTAATGCACAGGACAATACTGAGTAGATTCTCATCTTCAGTCCTAAATGAGTCGGCTGTGTTCCTTAGACTCTGCTCACCAGCGAGCCAATGGCAACCTGAAGTACTTTGAGTACCAGCTGGCCAAGCAGAAGAAGGTTGAGGCGGAGGAGGGCCTGAAGGAGAAGGAGAAAAGAGAGAGGGAGAAGAGAGAGGCGTCTGACAAGAAGGGCAGACCTGCAGACTACCTGCCTGAGAGGAGGAAATACGAACAGCTGTGTCGCGGCGAGGGCATCAAGATGGTGAGAGGCACTAACTGTACTAACCAGTGGTGGCTGGTGGCACTTTAAATCGGAGGACAGACTCCTAGTAATAGCTGGAATAGAATAAATGGAAAGGTATCAAACACATGGTTTCCATGTGTTTGATACAATTCCATTAATTTCTTTCCAGCCATTACTATGAGCCATTCTCCCCTCACCAGCCTCCACTGGTACTAACACACACTCTGCATGCACAGCTTCTAATAGCTATGTATTTTTATGTTTAAATGGCTTATGTCCTACTCCGCTTGAAAGGCTTTATATTGGTCATGCAACTACACTGAACAAAAATATAAACGCAACATGTAAGGTGTTGGTCCCATGTTTCATGAGCTGAAATAAAAGATCCCAGAAATGTTCCATATGCACAAAAAGCTTATTTCTCTCAAATTGTGCGTTCAAATTTGTTTACATCCCTGTTAGAGAGCATGTCTCCTTTGCCAAGATAATCCATCCACCTGACAGGTGTGGCATAACAAGAAGCTGATTAAACAGCATGATCATTACACAGGTGCACCTTGTGATGGGGACAATAAAAGGCCACTCTAAAATGCGCAGTTTTGTCACACAACACAATGCCACAGATGTCTCAAGTTTTGAGGGAGCGTGCAATTGGCATGCTGACTGCAGGAATGTCCACCAGAGCTGTTGCCAGATAATTAAATGTTAATTTCTCTACCATAAACCGCCTCCAACGTCGTTTTAGAGACTTTGGCAGTACATCCAACCGGCCTCACTACCGCACAACCACGTGTATGGCGTTGTGTGGGCGAGTGGTTTGCTGATGTCAACGTTGTGAACAGAGTGCCCCATGGTGGCGGTGGGGTTATGGTATGGGCAGGCATAAGCTACGGACAACGAACACAATTGCATTTTATCAATGTCAGTTTGAATGCACAGACATACCGTGACGAGATCCTGAGGCCCATTGTCGTGCCATTCATCCGCCGCCATCACCTCATGTTGCAGCATGATAATGCACTTCCCCATATCGCAAGGATTTGTACACAATTCCTGTCCCAGTTCTTCCATGACCTGCATACTCACCTGACACGTCACCCATTGAGCATGTTTGGGATGCTCTGGATCGACGTGTACGACAGCGTATTCCATTTCCCGCCAATATCCAGCAACTTCGCACAGCCATTGAAGAGGAGTGAGACAACATTCCACAGGCCACAATCAACAGCCAGATAAAGTCTATGCGAAGGAGATGTGTCGCGCTGCATGAGGCAAATGGTGGTCACACCAGTTACTGACTGGTTTTTTGATCCACGCCCTACCTTTTTTAAAAAGGTATCTGTGACCAACCGATGCATATCTCTATTCCCAGTCATGTGAAATCCATAGATTAGGGCCTAATTAATTTATTTCAGTTGACTGATTTCTTTATATGAACTGTAACTCAGTTAAATCTTTGAAATGGTTGCACGTTACATTTATATTTTTGTTCAGTATAGATGGGTTTTTCCTAAGCCAAATGCTCATCCGAGAGAGACAAGTTCGATGTTTGGCGAAACAGTTCGATGTTTGGCAGGACTAGAGGAATCTTTTGGCACTCTTTCCTCTGCTGCGTGAATCTCTTGGTGATTCTCTGTGTCCTCTCTCCTGCATACTGTGCTCCCTGCTTCTCACCCTGGCTCTGCTTCTGCCTATCTGTCCATAGATGGAGCTGTTTAATCTAGCCATAATGTTTGGCAATGAGGCAGAAGCCTGGATGGACAAGTGTGTGTGGGGGAGAGTCGGGGTGTGTGTGTGCATGCACTCGCTGAACCATGCCTTGATAGGTTCTAAGCCAGTAGCTATAGCAATGGCCAGAACTGTGAGAATGTCCCATATATGTCCCATAATGTTTGGGTCAGATACCATAGCAAATGATCTGCAAGTTCGTGAACTCGGGTGACCCTCTGTGATTATATATGATAATGATCTCTATCTCTCTTTCTCTGTCTCTCTCTTTCTCTCTCTCACTCCCCCGATCTCAGACCCCGCGGCGTCAGAGTCGTATGTTCTGTCGTTACTCTGACAACAACCGCCACCCCCTGTACGTGCTGGGTCCCGTCAAGCAGGAGGATGAGTGGGACCGCCCACGCATCATCCGTTACCATGACATCCTCTCCAACAGCGAGATCGAGAAGGTCAAAGAGCTGGCCAAACCCCGGGTGAGTTCAAGGTCCACCCTCAGGGGAAGGCAAGGTCTGGGGTGTGGTAAGGGTCGCAAAATTCCAGTAATCTTCCAAAGTTTTCCCCAAAATTCCAAGGTTTTCCAGAATTCCAAGTTGGGAAAGTCTCCGGGATTTTGCAACCCTAAGTGTGGTAGATGTTAAAATCAGTGGAGGCTGGTGGGGGAGCTGTAGGAGGACGGGCTCATTGTAATGGCTGAGATGTAATAAATGGAACGGAGTCAAACATGTGGTTTCTATATGTTTGATGTGTTTGTTACTGTTCCATTTATTCTATTCCAGCCATTACAATGAGCCCTTCTTCCTATAGCTCCTCCCACCAGCCTCCACTGGTTAAAATGTGTGTAAAATGCATGTTCCATTGCTGCCATAAGGACACTGGGGATACCCACCCTGCATGAGGACCTGACTGTGTACAATGTGTTTGTTTATTTGTTACACACTGGCTGGATAAGAGCAACATCCCACTTGTTTGGCTCAGACAGTAGTATTTGATAGCTCAGTTAGAACTAGAAGGGAGTTTTGACTCGGCAATGAACATCACCTCAAATGATCATAACTGAATCAAATGATCATAACCGAATCATAGCTTCATATCAACACATAACTCAGACTTTCGCATGAATCGTGTATTAATGTCAATGATCGAGATCCATATCTCAAGCAATGGTTCAGCTCTTGGGAGAGGGTAAGGGGAGACACAGACTTAATGTAGCCTAGTAGTGTATGTGGGTGCAGCAGCCAGTCAGTGTGTAACAGGGATTGTCCCTGTAACCCGTGTCCACAGCTGCGCCGGGCCACCATCTCCAACCCCATTACTGGTGTGCTGGAGACCGCCCACTATCGCATCAGCAAGAGGTAAGACCAGCAGGCAGGGATGGGCACAACACTGTACCCCAAACCATGCCCCTGTCTGTAACCCAAACCATGCCCCTGTCTGTAACCCAAACCATGCCTCTGTCTGTAACCCAAACCACTCTGCACCCCACATCCCCTCCACTTGGGCAGCAACCTTGGCAAAAGCACAACAGCTAATGGTGAAGTCTTAAGCGTAGAGTGATATAAATGACTAGTGTAAATTGACAGTTTGTATGTTTGGGGAACTTGTGCTATTATTGCATGAACACGTAACTTTCATGTGAAATGTAGATATTTTGGGTATTTTGGAAGGTAGGTTGATTTTGAAGAAGGTATAATTCAACCCCTCTGGGCCTGTGCTCTTGCCAAGACGTCCTGCCACTGCTTTGATCATAACAAGAGGGAGGAAGAGGAGTCTAAGTATCTGCTTGTTATCTAACAGTAGTCGGGGTGCGACAGGGGCAGTCTAATATCTCATCAGGGCCCCGTGTAGCTCAGTTGGTAGAGCATGGCACTTGCAACACCAGGGTTGTGGGTTCGATTCCTACGGGGGGCCAGTATGAAAAAATAAAAAAATAAAAAATGTATGCACTCACTAACTGTAAGTTGCTCTGGATAAGAGCGTCTGCTAAATGACTAAAATGTAATCTTCTTTTTGTAGCATCTCAATTAAGTTTGGCAGTGGCCATTACTAGCCATTACCTGAGTGCAAGCTCAGCAAGTCGTTTGCTGCAATAGTTTTAGACAGCATGGTTCGCATGCCCTGGCCTGGCATCAGTCTGGCTCTCATATAGTTGCTTGATCATTCAGTGACCGTCTCTCTCTATCTCTGTCTCTTTCTATTTCTCTGTCTCTCCTCTTCCTCTCTGTGTCTCTGTCCTCCTCTCTGTGATCTGTGACTGTAATGTGAACCGTCCGGGAACTAGCTAAGGCGTGCCACCGTGCATGACCCCCAAACAGGGAAACTCACCACGGCCCATTACAGAGTCTCCAAGAGGTAAGGGGTCAAAGGTGAAGGGGAGGGACCTGCATAAGGCCCTGTCTTCCCTTTCATGCTGCTCATCCCTCCCCCTCACCCCTTTGTGGACCTTTGCTTATGGATACACCTACCTCCCTCCTGACCTATACAATCAGATCCCTTCCTCTCCTATCAGCATGACAACCCAATCCATGCAGTGGCTTACCCAAATAGTGTTTTCTGCTCTTTTTCTTTGAAAACACAAGGAGTTTTTCTGTTATCTTGGTGCAGGTGTATCTTACAGAATGTCATTTCAGTGTGTGGGTGGAAGTAAAAGTTGAATTCCTCTAATAGAAAGGAGACTGCCTGCCTCTTGGCTCCCTTCAAGCCTGTTTAATGTGGACTGGTTATAGTGCGCCCCCTTGTGCAGATAGATTAAGCTGAGTTGAGCAAATGGAAACATGGTGGTGACCATGCTCTGTTCCTCAAGTCTGATCCCCCAGATTATGGCTTCATTATGCCTGTGAGTCCATTAACCTAAATTAGTTAAATGAATTAAGCATTTTTCTCATTGAACATGCACAATGTTTAATTAATTATCTTAGGGCCATTAGTAATCAAGGTTCTAAGTTAGGCTATATAGATGTTTCTTTTTGTTAGATAAATGGTTTAAAGAAGGAACCATATTTGTAACCATACAGCTGATATAGCAGCTGATTGCACATTTATATCTGAGGATATGAGCCAGCTTTCTCACCGTACTCTCCTAATAACAGCACTTCAAAAATAGCCCAGTGTGATTCATCACACAAACACACACACATTTATACTTCAGAATGAATGAATAGATTGAGCCACTTCAAAGCATGTCTTATTCATCTATATAACATGAACAGGCTACGCTAATTAGCTGGATGCACATAGGACACACACTCCCGTTAAATGATGGTGTGTAAACATAGGGCCTGAGACTGGGGCCTGAGACTGACTCAACATGGTTCTACCCCTCGAGGGGGCCAAGTGAGATCTGGCTCCTATCCAATGGAAGGGTGAGATCTTGGTCTGCCCAGTCGAGTCTGCTGCCTGCTGGACACTTAACAGCATCTTCTGTTACTCCCATACCTTTCTAATCCAATATATATATATATATATACATTTAAAGGTCTGTCACGTAGAGGGACAGAAGGACTGGGGTCTGTTGTTAAATGAATAACCCCAAATGGTCACTCTGCCCCAACTACCTTGGTGAGAAACAGTTATTTTAAGTTTTCGTTAACTAAGGGGATTCTTCAAATAGATGCATATCAAAAAGAGAGAAAAAAACATTTTGCTCTGAGACTTGTGGTGTTCCCTTTAACCTCTATGTTCCCACCATCCTGATTCCCTCTCCTATACCCTTCTAACCTACAGTACTAACGCATGCAGCCCATGCGGTTTTCTTAACTGTTAAACCTGTGGAAACTCTAATTTGTAATAACATTATTCAGCTGCCTGGCTACAATTTACACGAAATAAAGGTGTATTTTATGACTCAAACTGTCAATCTCTCATCACAGTGCATGGCTAACAGCCTATGAGGATCCAGTAGTGGACAAGATAAACCAGCGCATTGAGGATATCACAGGCCTGAATGTCAAGACAGCAGAGGAGCTACAGGTAACACAACAGAACATCAGGGTGGCTGAGGGAGTTTAGTAGGACTGGAGCACTGGTAGGAGTGGATACCCTCACAGTACATCTATAGGGTTTTAGCAACCAATGATGTGAGTATACAAAACATTAAGAACACCTGCTCTGTCCATGACATCGACTGATCAGGTGAATCCAGGTGAAAGATGTGAATCCCTTTTATACTGTATGTCACTTGTTAAATCCACTTCAATCAGTGTAGATGAAGGGGAGGAGACAGGTTAAAGAAGGATTTTTAAGTCTTGAGACAATTGAGACATGGATGGTGTACAGTGCCTTGCAAAAGTATCCCCCTTGGCATTTGTCCTATTTTGGACATACACAAAATTGTCCAAATTGGTGAAGTGAAATGAAAAAAATTACTTGTTTCAAAGAATTCTAAAAAATATATAATGGAAAAGTGATGCGTGCATATGTATTCACCCCCTTTGCTATGAAGCCCCTAAATAAGATCTGGTGCAACCAATTACCTTTAGAAGTCACATAATTAGTTAAATAAAGACCACCTGTGTGCAATCTAAGTGTCACATGATCTGTTTCATGATCTCAGTATATATATATACATCTGTTCTGAAAGGCCCCAGAGTCTGCAACACCACTAACCAATGGGCACCACCAAGTAAGCGGCACCATGAAGATCAAGGAGCTCTCCAAACAGGTCAAGGACAAAGTTGTGGAGAAGTACAGATCAGGGTTGGGTTATAAAAAAAATATCCGAAACTTTGAACATCCCACGGAGCACCATTAAATCCATTATTAAAAAATGGAAAGAATATGGCACCACAACAAACCTGCCAAGAGAGGGCTGCCCACCAAAACTCACGGACCAGGCAAGGAGGGCATTAATCAGAGAGGCAACAAAGAGACCAAAGATAACCCTGAAGGAGCTGCAAAGCTCCACAGCGGAGATTGGAGTATCTGTCCATAGGACCACTTTAAGCCGTACACTCCACAGAGCTGGGCTTTACGGAAGAGTGGCCAGAAAAAAGCCATTGCTTGAATAAAAAAATAAGCAAACACGTTTGTTGTTCGCCAAAAGGCATGTGGGAGACTCCCCAAACATATGGAAGAAGGTACTCTGGTCAGATGAGACTAGAATTGAGCTTTTTGTCCATCAAGGAAAACGCTATGTCTGGCGCAAACCCAACACCTCTCATCACCCCGAGAACACCATCCCCACAGCAAAAACCAAACACCTCATTCCACAGTAAGAACATCATACCAAAGGTCAAGCATGGTGGTGGTGGTGTGATGGTTTGGGGATGCTTTGCTGCCTCAGGACCTGGACGACTTGCCTTAATAGAAGGAACCATGAATTCTGCTCTGTATCAGAGAATTCTACAGGAGAATGTCAGACCATCCGTCTGTGAGCTGAAGCTGAAGCGCAGCTGGGTCATGCAGCAAGACAATGATCCAAAACACACAATCAAATCTACATGAAAATTGCTAAAAAGCAACAAATTGGAAGTTTTGGAATGGCCTAGTCAAAGTCCAGACCTAATCCCAATTGAGATGTTGTGGCAGGACTTGAAACGAGCAGTTCATGCTTGAAAACCCACACGTCACTGAGTTAAAGCAGTTCTGCATGGAAGAGTGGGCCAAAATTCCTCCACAGCGATGTGAGAGACTGATCAACAACTACAGGAATCATTTGGTTGGAGTCATTGCAGCTAAAGGTGGCACAACCAGTTATTGAGTGTAAGGGGGCAATTACTTTTTCACACAAGGGAATTGGGTGTTGCAAAACTTTGTTTATAAAATAAATGAAATAAATATGTAATTGTTGTGTTATTTGTCCACTTATGTTCCCTTTATCTAATATTAGGTTTAGGTTGAAGATCTGATAACATTCAGTATCACAAATATGCAAAATTAGAAAGGGGGCAAATACTTTTTCATAGCACTGTATGTCTATTATAGCAACAGGGTGAAACATTTATTCCACGCAATGACTACATCTGCATTGCTTAATGTTTGGGGTTTTAGGCTGGGTTTCTGTATAGCACTTTGTGACACCTGCTGATGTAAAAAGGGCGTTATAAATACATTTGATTGATGATAAGGAACTAACTTTACTGCTGTTTGCTACTGAGGAAGAGCCAATCAAAGACTAGTGGTTGTACTGTGAAGGTAAAGTGGAAGGAAAGGTCATTCTACAGTACTAAGACGAGTGTCTCTAATGACAACACAGCATCTGTCACTCTGTTTATGTCCTCTTTTCCTCTCTCCTCAGGTGGCAAATTACGGCGTGGGCGGGCAATACGAGCCCCACTTTGACTTTGGACGGGTAAACAAGGCTTCTCTTTCTATTCTGGTCAGGGAAATATGATGTGCATGACTGAGAGTCAGTGGGTGAATGTTGATGGCTGGCACACGTGCATCAACTGTTGTTAGTGGGTTCATATCTTGATGGGGTTTAGCCTTGAGTGTTAGTGTTATTTAACCTTAGACCCTTTGTGTATGTTCCCTGTCTTTGCAGAAAGATGAACCGGATGCGTTTAAGGAGCTGGGCACTGGGAACCGCATCGCCACCTGGCTAATTTACGTTAGTATCTCTGCTTTGTACATCTCCATTAAGCAATTCACTATTTCAGCTCTATTTCATAGCTATGGATACACTTTCGGTCTTCCATTTACCCATGTGTAAATCTATCTAATTTCAAAGATTTCATTAAACAGCAATGGGTTTCAATTATGATGAACTTGAAAAAGCTCTCATATTAAAACGGTATGTATGACTGATAGCTTGAAGATGCTCTCTTCTCTGTTGCAGATGAGTGACGTGCCATCAGGGGGCGCCACTGTCTTTACAGATGTGGGAGCTGCAGTGTGGCCCAAAAAGGTGAAACACACAACTGTGGTGTTCACGTTGCATTCTTTTCCTGTTAAGTGTGTGAAGAATTTCTTTCTTTGATGATATTTGATGCTAAATCAACAACTGTGTCTTAATGTGTGTATATGTAAACTTTTGTTTTCAGGGAAGTGCAGTGTTCTGGTATAACCTGTTTGCCAGTGGGGAGGGTGACTACAGCACACGGCACGCAGCCTGCCCTGTCCTAGTAGGGAACAAGTGGGGTGAGCCAACCTGTCTCTCATTACATCCATTACTCCTGTCCTATTACCTACACCCTAAGAACTTCAGGTCTGCCTGAGGGCAGAAATAAGCTAACTGTTTGCTGCAGCTAACTGTTTGCCACCTCACTTAGTTTTGTCTTCCCCCTCCAGTGTCTAACAAGTGGATTCACGAGCGAGGCCAGGAGTTCCGAAGACGTTGCACTCTGGACGAGTCAGACTGATCAAAAGGAATAAAACACCTTCCTCCTAATCCTCGTCTTCCTCTTCCAATCCCTTCTCCTGGACCCACCTGACTCTCGGCTCTGTGGACGCTGGGGTGTGAAGTGCCCTCTGACCTCTCCACCCCCTTCCTCTCCTCCTTCTCTCCAAACTCAGTGTTCACTCAGCGTTCACTGAGGCTCTGGCTGCTCATGTGATCTGTCACATTTTATTTTTATCTGAGGTGTGTATGTGTGCGTGTGTGAACGTGTGCGCATGTGTATGTGTGTGGGGTTCACCAGTCCCAGTCTGTGCCTTCTGTCATGGGTTTTGCACACTCCGACGGCACAGCTGTCTTAACCTGAGGAACTTTTATTTAACTTTCACCCTTAACATGGACTTTTATGTTGATACTGTCGACAAGATGCTAAGTTAACTAGTTTCCCAACTCCTCAAATACCCCAACAGTACACATTTGTAGTGTAGCCCCAGACAAGCACACCAGATTCAACTTGTCAACTAAATACCAAGCCGTTGATAAGTTGAATGAGGTGTGTTTGTCCAGAACTACAACAAAATGGTGTACTGTTGGGGGTACTGGAGGACTGGAGTTGGGAAACACTGAACTAAAGCAAACAACAAGGCTGCTTCTCCCTTTCAACTTCCTACATGACATACTTCTATTTTCCTTACCTGCAACACTCCTTCCTTCTTACCATCACTCCAATCCTCTCCTCACCCACTGTTTCCCAGCACACAGAGGTATGAGACCAGTTATAAATGCACTGTCACTGTCAAACTCTCCCACAAAGTCCTCCCTCCCCCACCCTATCAACAGGTCAAAATCAGATGACCCCACATCATATCAAGCCTCCTTATTGGCCCTGTAATCAGGGTGTGATTTAAGCCACTTGACCCATCTTGGCTATTCCTGCAGGACATACATGGGGCTAGACTAGGGGGCTCGCCGGAAGGATGGAGATTTATTGGTTGGTTGCACTGACAATCAGGGTTAGTCATTAGGCCAAGGCTCTAAATTATGACCATTCGAGTTGTGTATGCGTATAAAAAATGTGGTGGTGCAACCTGAGGCATTAGACAGGGAATCACCAATGTAACTGTAAAGACTTGTTATAATGTGACCATTATCAGAAACCATTGTTTACATGGTTGGAGTTTTACATAGTACAGTATGCACAGGGTCTGGGTTACTATCAGATGTAGGGAAGGTCTCAGAACAGTGAGAAGTGATTACCACTGATTCACCCCCCCCCCCTTTATTTTCCTTCTCTCTCCATTCCCCTCCTCTCTACCAAGGCCATGTCTGCCACAGGGCTATTTCAGCCCTGAGGTCATTCACTCCAGGACAAACACTACTGCATCTGCTGCACAGATAAACACTGACTTTTAAAGGTACACAATGTCTCTTAGTTTTTCTGCCTCTCTCGCAATGCGCTCTGTTCCTCCTGTGTCTCCCACTCCTCTTTCTGCCTTGGTGAGATACAGTAGACTCAATGCAGGTGCGCCTATAAGTACTGACTGAACCCGTTCAATGTTACTGAAGCAAAGCTCGAACCTGATCAGTTGATGATTAATTGGTTTGATAAGCATAGGATTTCATCCCTAAATGACTGAATGAAATATGATGCTAAGAATCAATAAGAAATATCACTCCAAACCTGGTTCCTCCACTCCACAGTTTAAGCCTATGCTGACCCTGGGAATAACGATACTTCATAGGAGGCAGTTGTTGATGTGTTCAGAGGGTCCCTGGTTCGAGCCCAGGTTGAGGCAAGGAGAGGGACGGAAGCAACACGGTTACATGTATATCCTCCCAGATGCAGTCCTTCTTTTATTTGAATTGTAATAATGATGGGATGTGTGGGGATGTGTTGTATGTGAGGTTATTGTTTTCTACAGAAATAAATGTTATGTTAACTAAAGAATTCAGTCTTGAGTGAGTCAGTGTTTTACATTATTTGTCCAGACCAGACGCATAATTGACTGGAACAACTGCAGAACTATTCTTATTACCACAGTTATTACCAACCAAACCCTGAAGCAGTTCTGAAAAAAGCATTTTAATCTCTCCATGATTTAATACAAAAGGCAATTAAATAGTTAAAGCTGGATTCCAGAAAAAGAGTAATGATGATTTTGAAGTGCAGAAATATGGTGGTGATGCCCAGAACCCTTAATCGTAATAGAAGACTGGTGGTGGTTGGCAGCTCAAGGCAGGGGCATCTTGTAGTCCGCAGGGTGGTTTCCCTCCCGAAGCTTTCCGAAGCAGCCACGTATCAGATCTACTGCAGCGTTGACCGTGGAGCTGATCTCACCATCTGTCCTGCCCCTCTTAGGGTTCACCTCCACCATGTCCACTGCAGACAGCAGCCCTGCACAAAGAAAACGCATAGCTGCTCAACACACACTTGACTGACCACACACACACACAGACTAAACAGTACATTGGAGCAGCATCAATTCAGATGCACTCCCTCTCTCTCTCTGTGTGTGTGTGTTATCATCTCTGTCTACAGTGAGGGGGAAAAAGTATTTGATCCCCTGCTGATTTTGTACGTTTGCCCACTGACAAAGACATGATCAGTCTATAATTTTAATGGTAGGTTATTTGAACAGTGAGAGACAGAATAACAACAACAAAATCCAGAAAAACGCATGTCAAAAATGTTATAAATTGATTTGCATTTTAATGAGGGAAATAAGTATTTGACCCCTCTGCAAAACATGACTTAGTACTTGGTGGCAAAACCCTTGTTGGCAATCACAGAGGTCAGACGTTTCTTGTAGTTGGCCACCAGGTTTGCATACATCTCAGGAGGGATTTTGTCCCACTCCTCTTTGCAGATTTTCTCCAAGTCATTAAGGTTTCGAGGCTGACGTTTGGCAACTCGAACCTTCAGCTCCCTCCACAGATTTTCTATGGGATTAAGGTCTGGAGACTGGTTAGGCCACTCCAGGACCTTAATGTGCTTCTTCTTGACCACTCCTTTGTTGCCTTGGCCGTGTGTTTTGGGTCATTGTCATGCTAGAATACCCATCCACGACCCATTTTCAATACCCTGACTGAGGGAAGGAGGTTCTCACAAAAGATTTGACGGTACATGGCCCCGTCCATCGTCCATTTGATGCGGTGAAGTTGTCCTGTCCCCTTAGCAGAAAAACACCCCCAAAGCATAATGTTTCCAGGCAGCATTCCTCCTCCTCCAAACACGGCGAGTTGAGTTGATGCCAAAGAGCTCCATTTTGGTCTCATCTGACCACAACACTTTCACCCAGTTCTCCTCTGAATCATTCAGATGTTCATTGGCAAACTTCAGACGGCCCTATATATGTGTTACCAATTGTTTTCTTGGTGACTATGGTCCCAGCTGCCTTGAGATCATTGACAAGATCCTCCCGTGTAGTTCTGGGCTGATTCCTCACCGTTCTCATGATCATTGCAACTCCACGAGGTGAGATCTTGCATGGAGCCCCAGGGAGATTGACAGGTCTTTTGTGTTTCTTCCATTTGCGAATAATCGCACCAACTGTTGTCACCTTCTCACCAAGCTGCTTGGCGATGGTCTTGTAGCCCATTCCAGCCTTGTGTAGGTCTACAATCTTGTCCCTGACATCCTTGGAGAGCTCTTTGGTCTTGGCCATGGTGGAGAGTTTGGAATCTGATTGATTGATTGCTTCTGTGGACAGGTGTCTTTTATACAGGTAACAAACAGAGATTAGGAGCACTCCCTTTAAGAGTGTGCTCCTAATCTCAGCTCATTACCTGTATAAAAGACACCTGGGAGCCAGAAATCTTTCTGATTGAGAGGGGGTCAAATACTTATTTCCCTAATTAAAATGCAAATCAATTTATAACATTTTTGGCATGCGTTTTTCTGGATTTTGTTGTTATTCTGTCTCTCACTGTTCAAATAAAACTACCATTAAAATGATAGACTGATTCTTTGTCAGTGGGCAAACGTACAAAATCAGCAGGGGATCAAATACTTTTTTCCCTCACTGTATATGCGTCTGTGATCTCTCACCTGTCTGACAGATGTGCTCTGTGATGTAGATTCCCTCTCTGTAGGTCAGTCCTCCCACTACTGGGGTTCCTGTGGCCGGGGAGATTGATGGGTCCAGGGCATCAATGTCATAGCTCAGGTGGATGGGCTTCTTCACCCTGTTAAATCAGAGAAATTAATGTATGTTTTTCCCTCTAAAACACACGTCAATGCCCAATATTTCCATTGATGTATCAAAGTTCACCTTCAGGCTCTGATCAGACCCTACACCCAAACGAGGGCACTACGTTCATCCACCTCTGGCCTGCTAGCTCCTCTACCTCTACGGAAGCACAGTTTCCCGCTCAGCCCAGTCAAAGCTATTCGCTGCTCTGGCACCCCAATGGTGGAACAAGCTCCCCCACGACGCCAGGACAGCGAAGTCACTGACCACCTTCCGGAGACACTTGAAACCCTACCTCTTTAAGGAATACCTGGAATAGTATAAAGTAATCCTTCTTCCCCCCCCCCTCCCCCACCCCCCCATAAAATAAAATAAAAAATACAAAAAGTGGTTGTCCCACTGGCTATCATAAGTTGAATGCACCAATTTGTAAGTCGCTCTGGATAAGAGCGTCTGCGAAATGATGCAAATGTAAAGTCAGATGTAGCCTACCATGAATAGCAAGAAATGAAAACAACACAATGAAATTGTTGAGGCTACATACTTTGAGAAGATGTAGTCACATGTCTCTTCCATCACTTTGGCTATTCCGAGGCGATCCACCTCAGTCATGGAGTAAACCTTGATACCCAGTAACTTCAGGATATGGCTGGAATGGGAGATATCTTTTTTTATTCTTCTGTAAACAATTATGTAGTACAAGGTTATAATATGATAATGTATGATTCAGAATGACAGGCAAAAACACATACTGCTCCTCTGGATCCACGTCTCTCAAGCCAATGTAGACTATATCTTTGGCTGATACACATGGCTTTATCCAGGAGAAATTTGGCAGAACTGGAATCTAATCAAAGAAACAGAGACAAGTCTGCATCTAGAACTGTAGCTCATACCCATGTATAACACTGTCACCACCAAAAACATAAACACAATTGACATGACTATTCTCTTTCAAATGTTTTCATTTCATAATCAATTGCTAGAAATTCATGATGACCAAGGACGTGCACAGGAAGAGGAAGAGTATTACGATAAATCCTCAAAACAAACAGACATTGCACAACTGTGTAAATACTGGTATTGCAAATACCAAGGTATGACTGATCTAACATTTACTGGTCAAACTCTGTTTCAGGGCAAACAATAGACAAATGTTTAATGATACAGTATTTGAAATATAAAAACTAGGGGATGCCTGTGGGAAAAGAGGGAGAGAGAGATAGAGAAATCACCTTGGATTGCAGCTCATGGATGAGGTAGGACATGGGCTGTCCGTGGATATTGCCTGTAGGGGAGGTCAGTGGTGTGTTGATGTCTGCATGGGCATCCACCCATACCACACTGAGGTCCTTCTTAGCTGCCGCATGCCCCAGGATCGAGCCTATTGCCAAACTGGACACAGACCAAACTTGGGAGTGAATTCCACATCACATTGTTAGGAAAAACCCCTGACCCTCGATTCTTTTAGGTGTATTTTGGCTGGTTGTTGACACTGGGCTCTTGCTCTACTATGGGTAAATATGAGACACACACACCTGTGGTCTCCTCCCAGCATCACACAAGTGTGTCCATCATTCTTCACTGCGTGGACGGCAGTAGACAGACGTTGGTTGGCGCTGCCCACCGCTCTGGGTCTCTTCACATTGCCTATTGGCTCATCGTTGGCCACCTCCTCAAACGTCACGTTGCCATAGTCTTTGACCGCACAGCCTGTGGAGGATGAGATTGGGCAACACAAGTTACATAAGAAAATGCATTAGCCAATGCACCTACAGTAATCTCATGTTTAAAAAAAATCAAGGCAGGAGCTGTCAATGGATCACTTAGAAAGAAAAGAAACGCTGTACACTCATGGCTCCGATGCAATAAGATGTCAATGGATTACCACAATGTTTATAATGTACCACCCCTGTACATGTTATAAACTAGTCCTTGCCTCTGATCTTACTGCCATTTGGTCATGTTAAAACTCATACTTTTTGCCAATATGCTAAATGTTAAATCCCCTCCATTTTACCAAAATGATAAATGTTACATCCCCTTAATTAATAAACAAATATGCAAAATAAACATTTCACAATCTGATGCAAATGAGCTCTCTCCTAGTTGAAATAAATGACTTATGAAATACTTATTTTACTATGTCTGTTACTATGTTAGTGATTGAAGCGTCTCTGTCTGCAACCTGGTCTCAGAGCATTTTGTATTATTCAGTACGTAAATAATAGAGCTCCATATAGTATCATATGTTTCGTTTCGTATGGTATGTTTTAATTTGTGATGTCCATCATCCATTTCATAAGATATGTTACTAATTTGCAAAACGTATAATATGTTAGAATTTGCTAAACTTACAATATGTTACGAATTTGCTAAACATATGATATGTTACGAATTCTAATTTGTTGTGGCTAATGTTAGCTAGGTGGCTAATGCCAACGTTAGCTAGCTTGCTAACGTTAGCTAGGCTAGGTGTTAAGGCTAGGGGTTAGGGTTAAGGGTTAAGTTTAGGAGTTAGGTTAAACAGTTAAGGTTAGGGCAGTCCTTCTCAAATAGTGGGGCGCGCCCCCCTGGGGGGGCTCGGAGCGATGCCAGGGGGGGCGCGTGTGACCCCGGGGAACATGCTTTTTTTTGCCGCAGGGAGTAGGTTTTTTTTGCACCGAACAAGAGCACACAGCACAGAGCAGGAGATATGGAGTGCAGGTAACAAACCCTTAAGAGACACCATGGAAAAATATTTAACAGGGATGAAAAGAATGGCGGAGAGAGACGGAGATAATGAGACAAACGTAAGTCTCCCGAAAGCTAAGACGAGGAAATATGACGAAGCGTATGTAGCGCTTGGCTTCACTGTGACTACGGTGGGAGACGAGGAAAGACTGGTATGTTTACTGTGTCTAAAAATGTTGGCAGCGGACAGCATGAAGCCAAATAAATTAAGGCGTCACTTAAAGACATTACACCCCAATCACCAGACCACTAAAAACAAGAGTCTTCTCTGCTATCTGTGAGGAGATGGGAGCTGAACATCAAGCTGTGCTGTTTCACAGTGAAGCAAGGTGGCTGTCACGAGGAAAAGTATTGTCCCGAGTTTTTGAGCTCAGAGAGCAGATAAGAATGTTTTCGGAGCAGGAGCACAAGTATGACCTCGCAGAAATATTTAGTGATGAGAACTTCCTGGCAAAACTGGCCTACCTGAGTGACATATTTGGAAAGCTAAATTAACTAAATCTACAGCTTCAAGGGAAAGATAAACACCTCCCTCAGGTCACAGACAAGATCAGCTCTTTCACTCGAAAGCTTGCAATGTGGGGCAGGCGACTTGATGAAGGAAATACTGATTCATTCGAGAACCTGCATGAATTTGTTGACACTACTGACTATGATGCCACCTCAGTGATTCCATATATTAAGGAGCATATTTCATCACTGATGGGATTCTTTAAAAAGTACTTCCCTGAAAACAGTTCCCAATATGACTGGGTGAGAGATCCTTTCAATGCACCAGCTCCAACTGGTTTCAGCTCTGCAGAGGAGGACCAGTTCATTGATATGACGTCTGACTCCACATTGAGACTGTGGTTCACATCACAGACACTGAGTGAATTCTGGACCATGGGCATTCTTCTTCCTTTTGCAACATCTTATCTTTGTGAGACTGGCTTCTCTGCTGTTGCTGCACTGATGACCAAGTACAGGTCCCAGCTAAACATTGAGCAGGAGCTGAGAGTTGCAGTATCATGCTTCAAACCCTGCTTCGAAAAGCTGTGCACTGCAAAACGTGCTCATTGTAGCCATTAATCCTGACTTCCTCATTTTGATTTTTTTTTTTAAATCAGCACATTGTTTTATTCATTTTTGTTTTATAGGTCAAAGTGTTTCATATATTGTGCTCCTGAGTTCATGTTGCTGATCAATTTGAATGTATTATTATTTATTGATTATATATTTTATTTTTCAGTATCAAATGGTCAAAAAATGTTTACAGTTTAAATAAGGCTTGAATTTTTTTTTTTTCAGGCAAATTGATGCACTTTAAGTATTTTCTGTTACAGACTAAAAAACAATGTTAATAAAGTTATTATTTGTTGTAAGTTGATCTATATTTCTTTCTTTTTTTAAATGTTAATAAGGATACAATGTTATGCAGAGGTGTACTTATAACAACTTTATAGACAAATGATACTATTTACAGTCGCGGCGGAGAGTTGGGGGGCGCGAAATGTTTACTTCTTCCTAGGGGGGGCGTAACAGAAAATAATTGAGAAGCACTGGGTTAGGGGAAGGGTTAGCTAAAAGGGTTAAGGTTAGGGGTTAGGGGAAGGGTTAGCTAACATGCTAAGTAATTGCAAAGTAGCCAAAAAGTTGTAAGTAGTTGCTAATTAGCTAAAATGCTAAAGTTATGGTGAGATTCCAACACGCAACCTTCGGGTTGCTATACATTCACGTTATACACCCACCCATCCAACCACCCTCTTTAGTTTTTGCCTCAAATAACCTTCTGTCTAATGTAACCATACCAAAGGTAACATATCATACTACATTTGAGTGTCCCAGATTTACATTTACTATGTTATGTTTAGTCTATGAGACCAGGCTGCTGTCTGCTATTCTCTCTGTAGAGGACACAGTCAGGCTAAGGATTGACAGGGCACTTGTCCCCAGAGTGCCCCAACTGTTGCTGGCGGTTTAGTGAGTGAGAATGCTATCACTGGCATACATACTGTATGCAGGCGGCTGCCATTGTCGTGACCCAAACACATACACACAAACATGGAAGGGGGAGTGGTGCAAGGTCAGAAGAGCTAGGCCTATCAGATCCCTTCTCCTGTGTGATATGAATAAAACAGAGAGGGTGCTTAGGATGTCTCTGATCTCACGTGATCACACACATGGGCAGAAGAGGACACACCCACACACAGAGTGATTGATCCTGCTCACATGTTAATCCACTTGGATCACACAGAACCCCCTGTCACTCTTATGGGCACTGCTTTCCCAGTAAGACTTCCCATGACTAAACACTTTAGAGGACAGGTCAGTCTTACTGTCAGTATTTCTAAAGGAAACTCCTGTCTGTTTTATACTGTGGTCATGATCTCAAGTTCAAGTGTATTTTTTCCAATATGATTATTTCTGTAGGCTAGCCTATGTAATATCACTTATTCATATAGTTTGTTCAGAACTGCCCAGGAATTGAACTTGGTCATGGAAAATAAATCATGCTGTTTAGCTTGTGAAATTATATTGTCATTTGACATCAGGTTCCAATATGTTAACTTATTCATCTCAACACCTCTGCCAGGCAAGTCAAAGAAAAGGTTGGAAGTCTGGTGACTTCATCATAAGAGCTCACAGAGCTCACATAATAATTTGATTAAATCAATAGCATCCTGATGCAAATATTGCAATTTGGTGATTTACAGGATAATTTCATAATTCCTCTCAGAAAAATACTTTGAATGTAAACAGATTCCCTTTACTGTACATTCTATATTTTCACAATTTTATCCAGTTCGGATGTCTTAATTTCTGCACTGTAGCTACCTAGCTAGTCTATTTCACAGAATGAGTATAAAATCATTATCAGGACGTCACCTTGCGCTTTGAGCTTCTCCACCAATCCGGCTGCGCGAATGAGGTCTGGTCCTTTCTCCACACCATCCCGCGGCTGCAGCAGAGATAGATTTATGGGACTGTGTCGGCCTATTATAGCAATACATTAAAACACATATATATTCTATATAACGGTAGTCTATTGAGCCTATTCGAATACCTATCAATAGACTATAATAAGTAGGCTAGCCTATAATATAGCCTACTCACCTGTCCTTTTGAAAAAGGCGCTCCAATAATTCCAACTGAGTGATGATGACTTCGCTTATAAATTCTGAAGGCGAGTTGTAATCCTCTCGAGCTCTTCATAATGACCATTATCCCGTGTCGGGACACAGTGTACAGGAGCACAGGTTTGGAGCGGCGCTGGAGCTCGTGCACTATCAAATTGTTCACTGAAATCAAAGGCACATCACCCAGTGTGTGACGACACCAGCGTGAGCGTGGTAAAGCCTATTGCCGCTCTTAATGGTCCACACAGCTAAAAGTTTCGGCACCGCCCCAGCATCATCACGGATAAGCGGCTTTAATTCACTAAAATTGCATAACACATCTTCTGCCTTGTATTTAGCGTTTGATGTTGACGTTACATCAGCCTTAAAGTGATATAATAATCTTATGAAATGCGCAGCAGTTGAATGAATTATCATTTTGAGTCATGTATATTGATGTGTTTTCAATAGGGACAAATCAAATTTGACTGGTGCTACCCCCAATCGTGAATATTCCATAATATGGAATGACTCATCGTGACAGATTCAGGTTCCTTCATATTCGTCAGCAAGTGGTACTGGATTAGCTTTCAAAAACCTTTATTCAAATGTATTATAATGAAGAGTTTGCTTACAAATGTATTATTTCACATGTACATTTTCATACAATGTAACAAAACCATAAGAGTTAAACAGTTGCCATGAAAAGCTTTCCATAAGACCCCCCAAAACGTGAAAAGACAATAGAAATAGCCTAACAACAAAATTCATCCATATTTTAATTCCCACAGGATAAATTTTTGGCTGATCATTTTTTTTATTTTACAGCTAGAGATCCATCCTATATGTACCAGGTATCCAGTGATAATAAGCGGTACATGCAAACAAAGGTTAACCTCCTGTGTCTCCCATCTTTGTTTTGATTGATGCACGGTTGATGCACAGTTCTGAGAAACAGTTAATGTCTAAGCTGGGGGAGAGGGGCTGAGGCTAAGCCTTCTGATAGGGGGACGTAGTGGGCTACGGGTCAATCTGGGCCCTTGTATGGTGGTGAAGAGGTGGGAAGTGGGACACAGGTTAGAAGTAACTCTGAAGAGGCTCTCCCAAGATGGTCTCCATCTCATGGATGACCTTCTGGACTTGATGCTCCACCTCCTCGCATTCGTCTGTAATGCAGAAAACACACACAGCGGTAAGCAGGGAAGTCACAAAATGGTGGCCATCGACCAAGAACGTTTTCACTAACTACCCTAAACACATCACAATCTACAGTGCCTTCAGAAAGTATTCATACACCTTCATTTAATCCACTTTGTTGTTACAGCCTGAATTCAAAAAATGGTTTGTTTTTTTCCCTCACCCATCTACACACAAGACCCCATAATGACAGAGAAAACATGTTTGTAGAAATGTTTGCAGATTTATTGAAAATTAAATAAAGAAATCATTTACATCAGTTCGGGAATGGGGATACACCTAGTTAGTTGCACAACTGAAAGCATTCAAACGAAATGTGCGTTCCGCATTTAACCCTACCCCTCAATCAGAGATCGACACCCACATCATCAGCACCCAGAGAGCAGTTGTTTTTGGTTTAACTGCCTTGCTCAAAAGGCAGAACGACAGATTTTTTTTCACCTTGCCAGCTCGGCGATTCGAACCAGCGACCTGTCGGTTAATGGCCCAACGCTCTTAACCGCTAGGCTACCTGCCGCCCAAGCATTCACACACCCGAGTCGATACTTTGTAGAAGCACCTTTGGTGTAGATTACAGCTTTGAGTCGTCTTGGCTATGTCTGTATCAGCTTTGCACATCTGGATTTGGGGATTTTCTCCCCTTCTTCCTTGCAAATTTTCACAAGCTCTGTTAAGTTAGATGGGGAGTGGCGGTGAACAGCAATCCTCAAGTCTTTCCACAGATTGGCTGGGCCACTCAAGGATTTTCACATTGTTCTTCTGAAGCCATTCCAGCGTTGCTTTGGCTGTATGCTTGGGGTCATTGTCTTGTTGGAACGTGAATCTTCGCCCCCAGTCTATGGTCGTTTGCACTCTGAAGCAGGTTCTCAAAGATTTGCCTGTATTTGGCTCCATTCATTGTTCCCTCTATCCTTACCAGTCTCCCAGTCCCTGCCGATGAAAAGCATCACCATAGCATGATGCTGCCACCACCATGCTTCACAGTAGGGATGGTGTTAGACGGGGGATGAGCTATGCCTGGTTTTCTCCAGACATAGCGCTTTGAATTCAGGCCAAAGGGTAACATTTGTCTCATCAGACCACAGAATCTTCTGCCTTATGCTCAGTCTTTCACGTGCCTTTTTGCAAACTTCAGGCATACCGTCATGTGCTTTTTTCTCAGGAGTGGCTTCCGTCTGGCCATTCTCCCATAAAGCCCAGATTTGTGAAGTGCTGTAGAGCCTGTTGTCCTTCTGGCAGGTTCTCATCTCAGCCAAGGAACTCTGTAGTTCTGTCAGAGTGGTCATTGGGTTCTTGGTCACCTCCCTGACCAAGGTCCTTCTTGCCCGGTTGCTCAGTTTGGTCAGACGGCCAGCTCTATGCAGTCTGGGTAGTTCCATATTTTTTAAATTTCCCAATGATGGAGACAACTGTGCTCATTGAAACTTTTAACACTATAGAAATGGTTTTATACCCTTCCCCAGATATATGCATCATCACAATTATATCTAGGAGGTCTACAGACAGTTCCTTGGACTTCATGGTATAGTTTCTGCTCTGACATACACTGTCAACTGTGGGACCTTATATTGACAGGTGTGTTTCTTTCTAAATCATGTCCAAACAATTGAATTGGCCACAGGTGGACTCCAATCCAGTTGTAGTGACATCTCAAGGATGATCAAAGGAAATTGGATGCCCTTGAGCTCAATTTATAGCGTCATAGCAAAGGTGTGTCAACACTAACGTAAATTTTATATTTCTGTATTTCATTTTCAATACATTTGCAAAAATGTCTAAACACATGTTTTCACTTTGTAATTATTGGGTATTGTGTATAGATGGGTGAGAAAATAAATTGAATCAATTTTGAGGCACTAACAACAAAATATGGATTAAGTCAAGGGGTATGAATACTTTCTGAAGGCACTGTAGCTACCATTACACAACCCTGCTATTTTCCTACTTTCTTCAACTACCCTAGGCACATATGAGGATTAAAATGGATGTTTGTATACAGCCAAACCATACATTATAAGCAACACTCATTTTTAGCTATGCTACAGGCAGAAAATAATAATATGCCAGGAACAGCTTGCTTTCATGTTTTCAAATGACAGAATATAATAATTTATGCCAATTTGAAGAGGTTTCCAGATATGCTTAAGTGGAATGTACTCTGTTATACAGAGGGGGGAAAAAACACAGACAAGTCTCAATATGGTATAATTACAGAAACAGTATAGCAGCAGAAAAAGAAAAGTGGGGGAAAGAAAGTGATGAGACAGTGAACCTACCCTCCATGAGTTCAGCCAGGAATGGGATAGTCTCTGGTAGCAGGACCATGTAGTTCTCCCTCAGCTTAGAAGCCAGCTCCAGCAGCATCAGCAGGGCAGAGAAACGCACCTGACGGGGGAAAACAACAGGCCTTTATTTCAGTCACTGGATGATCACTCATGGTCCTGGAGAACTGAAGGTGGGCAGGGTTTTTGTGCTGACCCAGCACTAACACACTAGCTAATCATGGTCTTAATGACTAGTTGAATCAGAAGTCTGTTGGTACTAGGCTGGGAATCCAATCCAACTTCTCAGACATCTCACCTTGGCCGAGCTGTGTCGTGTCTTCAGCAGGATCTGGTAGTTGAGGGTCTTCCACAGAGTGTCGTCACCCACGGCAACGCAGAACTGGCCCACGCACGGCACCAGGTGCTTGGTGACTCTGGTCTGGTAAACCTCCTCTCCACCCAGGGTGTTCTCCAACTATTCACAGACAGGCAGACATTTATACACCACTGCTATAGGGGGGAATAGGGGATCACAAAAATAGAATAGGGCATAAGGAAAGGTGTACGGCATCCATATTAGGAAGTCCCTCAGTTGTAAAGGTAGCCATTTTTGTGGATGAATCCTTTGTTATAGTGATGTAAGAGGGGGGTGAGGCTGACCTGATCGACCAGAGGGGCCATGAGGGCGTCGGCCCTCTCCTTGCTGACGAAGCGCTGCGTGTCGTACAGGCAGATCTTATGGAGGCAGTCCAGAATGCACTCCAGCAGCAGGCAACGCTTCTCAATGTTGTCCTCTGTGTCAAAGAAGGCTTCATCTGAATGACAGAAGGAGTGGATTAAAAGAGGGAAAATAAGCTAAAGATTTTCAAATACTTCCCGATGTGCCTTGCGTTAATCATTCACATTTGTGACTCAAAACCAGCAATGAACCAGAAAATGGGCAAATCCCCATCAAACACGACCTTTGTTGTCCAGCAAAGCCAGACACTTCATCTTAGAGACCTTAGATTCATAGGCAGTCTGTTACCACACAGGAGAGAGAGAGACCCACCTGTCTTTGTGACGTTGGTCTGGCAGAGCAGGTCAGAGAAGGGCTTGACCAGGTGACCAGCAAACAGGACAAAGAGCCCCTTGAGCCTGTCTGCGATGCTGTCCGACAGGCGGTAGAAGGTCAGCAGGCGGTCCTTGGCTGCGCTCTCAGTCTTGCACCAATCAAAGAGCTGCATGGGCATAAACACAGTTAAGCATCATGACTCTTCAAGTGATTACATTTGGACTAACACTGTGAGATTAGTGTGCTTTGGGAATTAGGTTATTATCTAATAAAAAAACATGGAACACACAAAACAACTGAAGTAAGACAGCATCGATTCTCAAGTAATGATGCTTACTTTGAAGAACAGGGGCCTGAAGGTGACTTCAGAGAGCTTCATAACCATGGCCAGGAGACAGTCGATCACATAGCCCTCAATCTCCTTGGTCTTCTCCAGATTACCCTGCAAACAAACACGACAGTCTTAACTATGGCAGACATGTGTCATTCAAACAGTTATGAGTTCAACAGAGAGAGAGCCATACTTGGCAGTGTTGGGCCCGGAAGTCCAGCGCAATTAGGAAGAAGGACGTAAGCTCTGATTGGTGGGAGGTCAGCTGATCCTTCTCCATGTGTCCAATGTGCTCCTTCAAGATGCCCATCAGGGGACCAAGCTGGCTCTGTGAAAATGAAAGGAGGTGAAACACTCAATTGTACCGATTCAATACATAACCACACAATGTGAACATGTATTTACTCCATCCTTACATATCACAGGCTACTCTAGGTAATTCACCACCTACCTGTTTAGAGTCCACCAGCTTGCTGTAGCACTTGGTGAGGGTGGGCAGCAGGACCCTGGGGGGCACCTTGGTGGCCACAGTGGTCCTAAGGGAGGCCAGTCGCACAGCCAGCTGTGGGGTGGTGGTGGCCTTCTCTGCCACCCGCGTCAGTCGAGCCACCTGGGGGACACATTACACCGTTACATCATTTCAGTATCACAGGTTCCATTCGATTTATTATGTTTACTATATGTTTATTATGTTAGAAACCAGATGGATGTTTGTGTGTGGGACAGTATAAGTTACCTGAAGCAGTGTGTCCTGCAGGTAGGGGCTGATGAAGTGAGGCAGGGTCTCAGTGACGCGTTGCAGAGCCGTGACGGCACTCAGCATGTAGATCTCATTAGACAACACCTCCTTTCTCTCTTTTAGAGTCTGCAGCACCGCCGGCATCATCCTGACAACATGAGGAGGAAGAGACTAGAGTCAGACTTCTGACACCACATTAATGATAGTTTACATAGGGTATATTATGTGTAAATATTTGTGTACTATGAAAGTGTATAGGAAAATATTAAATATGGGTAATTTATCTAACAAATGCACAGGTCTGTGAACTATACTGCCTGTATCTACTGTAGACACAGAAACGTTGTGTGTGTGTACCTGGGCAGTTGTGGGATGGCGAGGGCCTTCAGAGTGCTGGCCACCTCAGCCATACACAGCAGGGCACTGCCCATCACGTTCTTCTCCTCCTCTGGTGACACCACTATCTCCACCGCCCGGTTTAGCACCGGTACAAACGCCTCCTTATGATCCGAGCCAAAACTGCGGCACAGCAGCTTGAGGCTGTAGAGGGCTGTCTGCCTGTTGATGGCCTGCTCCTCCTCTTCCTCCTCCATGACCTTGACCTTGCCGTGACCATGCCCCACAATGGCCAGCAGGTCACCGGTCAGGTCCAGAAGAACGGTCACCTGGGGTGAGAGGTCAAAGGTCAGGACTACCCCTAACTATGCAAAACATACACACACATAATGTCCCCCGTCTGTGTACTAACCTGCTCCTCCTGCCACTGGGTTTTCTGCTGCAGCTTGTTGTTGAGCAGCTCCATAGCCTTCCGCCTCACAGACGGCAGCTGGTTACCCATCAGGCCTCGCATCACCGTGATGAACGTATCCGTGGGCAACAGGGCGTTCACCTAGTGATCAAAACACAGAAAAAATGAATGTAGGATCTCACAATGCAAACCTGGCTGACATCCTGTGTTTTTTTCTTAATATTCTAACAACCTTGGTTGCCTTTATTTTCTATGACTGAGTAGAGTACACGTCTTTCCATCTCTGTGGCAGACTTACTTTGTCCAGGACATCGTAGGCCTTATTGAGCAGGGCTCTCCAGAACTTGCCAGTTGGTTTGTCAGTGTTCTCCTCCACACAGCGAGCCACAGTGTGGATGTAGCAAAGGATCTCCTCCAGAAGACTAAACAGGACATCAGAACAACATCATACAATTATAAAGATGTGCTTTTTATCTTACAGTCAAAGAAATTGAAATCACCAATTCAAAATCATCAATTCTTTGCACCACATGGTTGGTTAGTCTAAATAAGCCTCACCTTTGCTGTAGTTTCTGCAGAGAATCCTCCACGATGTCACCGCACGCCGCAATCTGGAAGACACATTCAATGTTTAACAAACTACACTGATACATGACGGACATTAAACTTGAGTTACATAGCCTTTTCCCAGATCTGGTTTTGCTGTCTTGCCAATAGTTGACAAGGCTTTTACCGGATCTGTTTATGCAGTATTGCCAATAGTGTCAATTGTCTTGCCAATAGTACTGGCAAGACAGCACAAACCCAGGCTACAGTTAGATTACCATTCCCACAAAGCTGCCGGAGGCCAAGAGTTGGGCCATGAAGGAGACAGAGAGGAACTTGAAGTGGCGCAGCTCTTTGCTGCTGTGGGCCTCCATGTTGAAAATCAGCTCCTCTGCCTTCTCCTCCTCCTTCTTGGCTCCCCTGCCACGTGTTGGCCTCTTCACAGGTCCTGCACAAAACAAAAATGGAGTATGGTGTAAACCTGGTCCCTAAAGAGCACCCGTCTTGATGTCAGCTTCGTTATATAGACCCACACAGCACTCCCATCCTTTTTTGTATGGCCTTCACAACAGACAAAATGCATTGCAGGTTTGTTGAGTTTCTCACCGTCCTCTTTGTCCTGTGGCAGCGCCATGAGATACTTCAGGATCTTTATGAGAGAGATGAGTTGGTCCTCCACCTCAAACTCACAGCACACTGATATCCAGAACTCCACGTCCCTCTCCAACGCAGCATCCTGAGGACAGACAAACATGGCGCCTTAAAGCATTTCCTGAAGATTCTGTATAAAACCTATAGCAAATTCCAAAGACACTTCATTGACATACCTTCTAAAAACACTTACGCACACTTTTTAAGTAGTATATTCCATTGTGTTGATATTTCAGTCAGTTATTTCAGTCTTTTCTCATGGCCTACCTTCTCTGTGGCGTTGGTCTGGGTAGCGTGCTGCTTGAACAGGAGCAGCAGTAGGACCCAGAGGAAGCGGGCGGGCCCCAGGGTGGTCATCAGCTGGGTCAGGATGGGCAGGCGGCGGTGCTCGGGCACGTGGGGCAGTGCGTCGGCGAACACGTGCACAATGTGTGCCACCACCGCCTCCATGTGAGCGGTTGACTCGTCGTCGCCACTCTCATTGGCCTAGAAACAAGCAAAACAGACATTTCTTTTTCGGAAAAGTGGGAAGTAGCGAGAAACTCAGCAACCACGCCAAACCAGTGTGCAGGTTGCTCACACAACACTTAAAAAATATCCTTTAAGAGACAACTGACAACAATTGATGTCATAGCCCCTGTGATGAATGTCCTAGAGCTGAAATAACCAAGAGCCACTGACATGCGACCCTCAGCTTTGGATCTCTAGTTTGATCTAGCATCCTTTCTTGTCCAAGAAGCTAACATTAGCAACTAGGGGGTTTACGAGAATGCACAAGACATTTGTTTTTGATTGGCATTTACCACCCACATCTCCAGTGTTCATGTAATGTCAACCAAAACAACATATTACGTATTATTCACATTCATAGCGTATTAGATGAGTGGAAGTGAGACAATGGACAGGTCAAAGCTATTCTACATCACTGACCGCTTGTTGGTTGACTCACCTTAATGAGGGCAGGGATGACCGTCTGGACGGTCTTATTGATGACCTGAAAGCTGTAGGTGTCGTCCAGACGCATGATGTTGGCGCCCATGAAGGTGAAGATGGGCATGATGTTGTGCAGGACCTTCTCCTGGGAAAGAATAATGGGTCGGGGTCAAAGGTCATTGGGAACACACTTTAGATTGGAAACTGTTTCTGATGGTTTACAGATGGCTCTGTGATGGTTGAGAGATTGTTCTGTGATGGCTGAGAGATGGTTCTGTGATGGTTGAGAGATGGTTCTGTGATGGCTGAGAGATGAATGTGTACAGTACTTACAGGGAAAATGCCAGCCACACTTCCCAGAAGGAGCAGGGCATGATGGTGGGTCTGGGGCATGTCGGACATCCTCACACACTGCACCACAAGCTCCACGTTGAACTTGTCCTCATCCAGCACATCTGTGTGTGGAGGACAAACATAGTCACACATACACAAATCACAATCACAACATTTTAGGAAAGCCTGGAGGGTGCTCCTGGGCTAAAAAAAGTCCCTCGGTCTTCTCACCTTTGCTGATGGGACCTCCGTCAGAGGAAAGCTTCTGGCAGACATTGAGCAGGCAGCTGAGGATGAGCTGCTTGGTGTACTCTAGGTTGCCTCGCTCCACGGTGGACGTCTCTAGACACCTGAGCGGCCAGAGGGGAACAACACTTGGTCTACATATCTCAACCATTGTAGCATACTACATAGTATGAAGTAGTGTTTTTGCAGAGCATACTACATAGTGTGCTGGTGTAGATAATTAGACACATAGTTGGCCTAGCTCAGGCCGAGGCTCTGAGAGAGTGCAGCTGGTTTTACCTGGAGAGCAGGCTGAAGAGAGCGGGCACCAGCACCTGAGGCCTCTTCAGCTTCTTCTTGTGCTGCAGCAGCTCCAGGATGAGAGTCACCCTCTGCCAGACCACAGTGCCCTCTTCTGGCACTGCCTGAGCAGTGTCCTGGGCCTTCCTATATAAAGCACAGAAACACAGTGGCTCAAGTCAAGTCCATCATAGAGGCTCCAAGTCAAATTGCATTGTAACCAATGAAGTGATTGTATCTAGTCTATGTCTTATTGTAATCAAATGTAGGCCCGTTAGATTAGATGTTCCTCACCTCTGCAGCATCTTGCTCCTGCGGGTCTGCTGTACTGACACAGTGACTTTGGGCTTCTCTGCTGGGGCTAGCTCGTTAGCCACTAGCTCGCCGTCCACAGCAATCTACAGTGAGAGGATAGCATTAGCATCTTGTGTGGTGGTAGTGAATAATGGCTTCCCTGTAGATACAATATACAGGAGGTTCCTCCTCACCCCTTTGAAGACACTGCTGATGGTCTGGGCACAGACAGGACTCCTGCTCTCCACCAGCAGGTCAAACATCACCCCCAGGAGCCTCTGCTGGACCTTCTCATCTCCCAGGGCTGAGTAGAACGCCTTGGTGATCTGAGAACGAACAACAGGGTCATGTTCAGTAGGAGCAAATGGGAGAAAACATTTTGAAAAGGTAAATGGAAAATGAGGGTTGTCATTGTAGAAGTTTCAAAATGAACATGACCCAGGCAATAGGTTGGTGTTTTGATGGCACAGAAATGAGTAGCATACAGCCTTTTTATCATCTTATGGATCTCAGTCAGGGAGAGCCGCGCTGCCACAGTAGCGTACCTGTTCCAGGGCGATGATCTGAAAGCAGGGGATATCAGGGTAGGGCTTAGACACCGTGCCGAGGGCCTTGATGAAGAGTTCCAGGCAAGCCTGGTCCTTCACCAGGAGGGGGGCTGCCTGCTCGTTGTACTTCCCCAGGACCAACTGCATGAGCAGGGCCTCGTCCTTTAGGACAGTGGGGTTCTCCGGCCCGCTCTGCTCCAGCAGGCGCTCCAGGACAGGCATTAGGACAGATAACACCGACTAAGAGGAGAAAAAAAAGCGGGAAAGGAGACAGGGATATAAAATATACGGCTTTACAAAAACTCCAACGCCCAGATAAGAGTTGTCATATAAAAAGAGGCCTCAGAGTTTTTCCTGATCCAGTCACATCATCAGGAAATAGGTTTCACATTCCAGCAAGGCCTTATATTTCTGTTGTCATTCCCTGTCCACTCACCTCTCCATTGACCTCTCCCAGAGCCCTCAGTATGGTCTTGGCAGTGTAGGCAGGGCAGTTGGCCACCTGGACACCCAGCAGCAGCTCCTCCAACCCCACTAGCAGCCTCTTGTCCCTGGCCTTGCCTTTCCCTGTCCCTGTTACAGCCTCCTCATAGAGCTTCCCCAGGGCCTACAGAAGAACATATTTGGAAAGAGTGTGTATAACAACATTTAATGTGAATATAACATGAAATAAATGTTTGTGCGTGTATATTATTTCTATTTGATACTTTGTACCCACAATGTTTCATTGAGGATACAAATGATGTATGTGTGTGTGCCTTTCTCACCTGGCTGAGGTGAGTTGGGTCAGTGGTGAGCTCCTCGGTGGTCTTCAGCAGCCTGTCTATGATAGGGTGGAAGGGAGAGCTGTCCACCTGGGCTAGGGTCTGTAGGGTGGCTGTGGCTGCCCTCCTCACCTCCCGGACAGGGGAGCTCAGACAGGCCAGCAGGGACAGCACCACTATGGAGGGAAAACAGATTTAGAAACTTTGTTACTAATACAGTTCTCACCCCAGACACTTGATGGTAATTTTCAGACTATGCCAAACTCTATACATGAAATACAATCAAATACAATTCTCCAGGCTACCTGGTGATGAGCCTGATGCCAGCAGTGCAAGAGTCTTCCTTGGCTGGGCGCTGAGGAGGGCTCTGCCCACATAGAGGGCCTGGGTTTGCAGAATGGCATTGACCTTACAGTCCAGCTGGTCTCCTAGGTTACTGCCGTAGCCCCACACCAGACTCAGGAACTTGAAGAGCTCCAGGGGATCACTCAGGTGGACCTGGGACAAATGGAGGGGGTTGAGGAATGGAATAATGGGGACAAAGTGAGGCAGTTGATCGTAAAACGGGATATTTCTTTGTTTTACCTACTGCCACAAAAACACTGTACCTTATTTTTTATGATTAAATAAAGGTTATATTGTAGCCTCCCTAGAGGAATGCTGGACTTTCACCTCGAGTGATGCTATGCTCCAATGAGTTGAAGCATCGGTCTGTGCACTGAAATCCATTGTGTAACATATCAAGATTCAGTACCTGGAAGAGCAGCTTCATCAGGGCCCTGAAGCTGGCTGCCATGGGCACCTGGCCTGCCCCTGTGATGATGACATCAAACAGGCGACACAGCAACCGGAGGTAGCAGCACGTGTTGGTGTCCAGCTTCTCCGGGTTCCACCATGTCTCACCTGACAGGAAACCCAGACAGGGAGCAAGCCGTCTGTCAGCCTCTTTCCTTTTAACTCAGTGTGTGATCAAGTGGTTAAAATTATTGGTGATAGTCTTAACTTTAACAATGAAAAACTATATGTAGCCAATTGCTTTCAAAAAGGAAAAATGTTGGGGTTTTACACTGCTGCTACTCTGTTTATTATCTATGCATAGTCACTTTACCCCTACCTACATGTACATATTACCTCAATTACCAAGACTAACCTGTATCCCCGCATATTGACTTGGTCCCGGGACCCCTTGTATATAGCCTCGTTATAGTTATTTTATTGTGTTACTTTTTTTTAACTTTAGTTTATTTAGTAAATATTTTCTTAACTCTATTTACTTAAAACTGCATTGTTGGTTAAGGCCTTGTAAGTAAGCATTTCACTGTAAGGTCTATGCCTGTTGTATTCGGCGCATGTGACAAATTAAATTGGATTTGATTTAATTGATTTACCTTTGAAGGAAGTGTCATGGCACTTGAGGGTGGATATGAGTCCTCTGAGCAGTGACACCAGCAGCACCCCATACTCTGTTTCCATGCTCTGCCCTGCCCTGAGCCTCTGCAGGTACTCTCCCAGCCCCACAGAGAAGGAGAGAGACACATCCTCCTGCTGCTGGCAACACAACAGAAGAAAAGGTAAACCATTTCATACGGATTTCAAAAGTACAGAAAAGTATAGAATGGGTAAAGGAATCTGAGGATTAAAAAAAATATACAAAGACAAAATGTAAATATCACAGGAGGAAATCTATAATTGATGTAGTTCTACAAACTGCCACTCCCGCTCACCTTAGGCATGTCTTTTTGGGTGAGCTCCAGTATTGCAGGCTCCAGCAGGGAGTAGACACTCTGGGCTGTGTGGAGGTGCTGGGTCTCGCTCATGTCCCCCAGGCCCTGCAGTAAGGTCTGGCTCAGCACCACGAACACTGCCATCTCCCTCAGGCTACCGCGCTGGGCTGCTACCACTCCTGCCAGCTTCTCCAGCTAGCAGACATGCAAATAAGGTGAAGGGTGAGTTAATAATAATAATAATAATAATAATAATAATATGCCATTTAGCAGACGCTTTTATCCAAAGCGACTTCGTCATGCGTGCATAATTTTTTTTGTGTATGGGTGGTCCCGGGGATCGAACCCACTACCTTGGCGTTACAAGCGCCGTGCTCTACCAGCTGAGCTACAGAGGACCACAAGTTGTTACTTAGGATCCTTTCACATTGAACCCAACAAGTTTATCTAAATTCCTAGTGCCTACCCTAGTTAGCCAAGAGCTCTAAAATCACTAGATCAGTGTATGGAAAGCAAGACCGTTTTGTTTTAATTGCACTAATAATTAAAATTGCACTTGATGAAGAAAGGCCACCAAATGTTTACTAATCCACTCACAGCATTGCGTTTGGAGAAGGGGTCCATGTTAGACAGGTTCTTGGTCAGTGTTGAGATGAGATGCTGGTTGGCCAACCCAATGAAGTCTGGCTGAGAAATCCTCTCCATCACGTCCTTGAGCGCTGAGAGCAGAGGAGAGATAGGAAGTAGTTACAGTGCCGGCCAAATATATTGGCACCCTTCCACCTTTCTTAAAATAGGTTTTTTGCTCTCTCCATAGGTTTTCGATGTGATTCAGATCTGGACTCTTCGCTGGCCACTCCAGAACAGTCCAGCATTTCTTCTCTAAACATTCCTGGGTACTTGTTGATGCGTGTTTGGGGTTATCGTCCTGCTGGAAGACCCACAAGCTTTAATGGAGACCGGCTGATATGTATTGCCAAAGAGCTCTAACTTGGTTTCATTGGTTCACAGAACATTTCCCCCAGGATTTAGGCTTGTTTACGTGGGTTTTTAAGAAGTTCAAATCAGGCTTTCTTGTGTCTCCTTCAGCAGTGGGGTCTTCCTATGTTTACCGACAACCAAATTAAGCATTCAAAGAAAAGAACACCCTCCCTACAATCAAACATGGGGGAGGTTCGATAATGCTGCGGGGTTGCTTTGCTGCCTCTGGTACTGGGGGCCTTGAATGTGTGCAAGATATCATCAAATCAAAAGATTAATAAGGTGTTTTGTAGTGCAATGTTAAGCCTTGTGTTCAAAAACTGTGTCTCTGTTGAAGGTTGTGGGTCTTCCAGCAGGAGAACAACCCTAAACACACATCAAAAGCAGCCTGGAGTGGTTCAAGAAGAAACTCTGGACTGTTCTGGAACGGCCAACAAAGAGTCCAGATCTGAATCACATCCATAACCTGTGGCAAGTGCAGAAAACAGCAGTTGGTGGAAGGAACCCCTCAAACATTGAAGAATAAGAGCAGTTTGCTGCTGTAGAGCGGGCCAAATTGCCAGTAGAAAGGTGCAGCAAACTCAATTGATGGCTTCAAGAAGCATTTGTTGGTAGTTACCTTGGCCAATGGCTGTGCAACCAAGTACTAGCTCCAGGATGGCAATAATTTTGTCCATGCCTTGTCTTTATTTTCTAAATTAAAATAGTAAACGTAAGTTTACAAAAATGAAATTGGTTCTACAATGTTGAAAATCCAATCACGAGGTATGGAGACCAAACTTTTTTTTCAATTTCAACGTATTTTAGAAGAAATAGGGAATTATTTAAGAAAGGTGCAAATATATTTGGCCGGCACTGTATAGTAAACATACCTTCTTATTCTCTGGAAGTAAACAATCTGAATTTTGATTTAAATGAGTGGCATCAAGCTAGAGTATACATAATCCTTCTATTTACCAAAGTACCCGCCAAAGCATTCTCACTAATGCATTTGCAAGTGTTCCCAAAGACAAAAAAAATGACATTTATTGTGAAACTCCATGTTCTAATGTGTTTACCATGGGCCCAGCCCTGAGTGAGGTTGTGCTGGGATATGAGGGTGGACTGGGCCACACAGGTGGCCAGCTGGAGGTCTGGGGAGTCAGGCAGGGCCGAGGTGACCATAAGGAAGGGCAACAGACCCCAGACGACACAAGCCTTAAGGTCAGAGTTCCCCTCAACCAGTCTGGGTTCATCCAGAACCCGCACTGCCTCCTTCAACACTGGACACCTATGGGGAAGCACATCGAAGCCATTCAATATCACACTATGGATATGGAGTTATTTGGGGGAATTTATGTGCATTTCAATGAGCTGAAAACAGTATTAACCAGTTTCCAGCCTTTGAGAGGTCTATACGTTGTAGCAGTGAGAGGAGACATGACACAGTGTCCTCTGGATCCAGGCGATCAATGTAGAGCTGTGGAGGGAAATATGATAAGTTAGGTTTAATCACTAGTAGATTCCAATATGAATGTACTTGAAAGTCTAATATTGCAGCCACTCACCTCCAGCGCCTTCAAGGCTGCAGCCACCACCTCTGGGACGTCATCCTTCATACGCTCCAACAGAGCCTCCTTCAGGAAGGCCTGGTCAAAACCCTCCTGTCCCGAGGTGACAATGCCCATCAGGTGTTCCACAGCCATGTGCCTCACAGAGGGGAGCGGGTGCTTCAGGCTCAGCATGAGGGAGGTGTCAGAGTCCCCGAGGATCTGTAGCCAAAAACACAGACAGCGGAGTGTAAGAAAACAAAATGGCACGGAATGGCTTTGAGGAGGTTGAGCTGATCCTAGATCTCTGCCTAAGTGCATCCTTTACCCAGAGCAATCTCAGCTAGGGTGCTGCTGCGTACCTGGTACTTGCCACTGCTCATAGACAGGGAGATGAATTGGTGGAAGAGGTTCTTGTCCTCTGCGCTGGAGAGGTCACTCACATGGCCCTCCAGGACTATGTCCAGAGCACCAGGGTATCTGCAACAACAGACATGTCAGTGTAATGGATATACACAATGGAGTGGGAAGGAAAGAGGACACAAGTGTTGGTGCTGTGGTTTGGCAGCTGAGAGAATAACTACAGCTTGGCTACTACCAATTGAAAAGGGAAGCAATTGCAACAGTGATGTAAGTAGTACCCAATGAATGCCAGTGTTTAAGGGAAACGGTCCAACTTACTTTGACTCGAACAGTCGGACAATTGGCAGCAAGCGCTGGTTGAGGGCAGTGACACCCTCAGCAGAGAGCCGACTCTGGGACAGGTATTCCTCAAGTAGCATCTTTGCTATTGTGTTATCAAAACCACCAGACAGTGGAAGGCCTTGAAGGACAGACTCTAACAGCTTTCCATGGCGGGTGCTCTCTGAGGGCTCCTCAGTCTCCATCTCATCTATGACAAACAAAAGACAACACTTTTATATTTCATATTAAAGGGATTTAATGGCAATATACATATGCATCCAGGTTAAAATACAAAGAGTCAGATGCAGGTATACACTGCTACTCACCAGTGCCGGCGGTGACGACAGCATGAACCAGGTGAGGCAGCAGGTAGCGTAATAAGGGACTGATGTCATGAACTGCTGCCATGGCCTGGAGGGTGGGGACCAAGGAAGTCACAGCACACAGCTGGCCAAAGGATCTAAAGGAGAAAAAAAAAAAAAAACACACAGAATGCCAATTAAGAAACACAAAAAACCCTAAGATGCCCTAAAATGACACTCGAAGTGATGAAATAGTTTCACAAAGTAAAATTCTTCCTATTCCTCTTCTTCACTCACTTTGGGCCGACAGTGCCCTCCTTCTGGTTCTGCAGGAGGACGATGAGGCAGCCCAGGCCCTCTTTGGGAAGCACAGGCTCCTTGCACAGTGACTTGCTGATCTGCAGGGCCAGGGTGTCCACCAGCTGGGCCTCCATCACTACCTTCACAGCCAGCTGGCACACTATCATGTAGGTGGCAGCCTTGTAGTCTGTCAAGGAGGACTTCATACCCTGGAGACACAAAGGAAATGGTCAGCATTAGTTGAACAGTCTTCTTATGGTTTATTCCTTAACTTCAATAACAAGTTTTTGAATCTCAGTGTCAACGCCTCAAAATATAATGGTTTCTTATGAGGCTAAAATGCAGTATCTAACCTTCTGAACATAAGGCAGCAGCTTGGATATGATTGTGTCAGAGACTTTCTCCACAGCATCCAAAGCCGGTACGATAGTGGAGGCATAGAAAGAGAAAATCACACGAAGCTGGGCACAGTTGCCAGAATGTCCTGAATATCCCTGCAAAAAAAGAAGACCAACAAAACAGGTCAAGATGAGGCACTGTGCTTGACACCTGAGCATACGTATAAGCTACATTGAGGTATAAGGCGGTGTATTGGGTTTACCTTGATTGACTTAGTGACCAGGGTGCAGATGAAATCCATGAAGCCCAAGTCTTTGTAACAGTGAGTGATTAGGGTTCCTCTGGCCAAAGGAACTCCTGGTTTCTGTAAGGAAATGAACATATTGATCATTGTTGACATGCTGATTATAATGAAAAATAACAACTAAATCTATCAACTTCAAATAGTTGTTATGTTCATAAATCATAGTTAGCTTCTATAACAATTACCTGAAGCCCCTCGAGCCAATTCCATCGGTTAGTGGGGTCCTTTAAATTAAAGAGCTGAATGACTCTGACAAACACTTTAGTCTCGTGATAGGGCAAGGCACAGGCAAGCAATGTGTCCACATTATACAGGTGGATGTGGAACCTGCAATGATGAAAGAGAATAACCACCAGTATTAACATAATGTCAATAAGAAAAATCCAATATGAATAGGCTACATACAGTGACGCAATTAAAACAGCAGCTTATACACGTTTTCCTTCTAATGTAAACATAACAATACTTGATTGATAGGACATCGCGTAGATAGAAAAATGGGGGGGGCACCTGTGTACAAGCCACTCAATGCACTTCTGGGCAGGCTTGAGCAGAAAGTATGGGGACAAGCGTGTGAGAAACAGGGAGATGCCTGCGTCCAGTTTCTTGTTGACCTCCTTGGACTGGACACTGCGCTCCAGGCCCACCGAGGCTTGGCTGAAGAGTGTCTCCTGGAACTCACTGAATGCAGGCTCGATGCCCAGGAGTTCCTCGAGCCCTGTGCATCCTAAAATGCAAGATAAAATAAATAGTCAGGAAGAGCAGCTGAGAAGTTTAAACAGTAGTCATTCAGATGACAACAAGCAGCAACAGTGAAGTCAAGAAGGACCTGTCAGACTCATGCCAAACTTACCAAGTGCAAAGAAGGTGCTTCTATCCATACTGGAGGCATCTTTAGGGTCAAACAGTAGGGATGCAACCTCCCGACGAGTGAGCAGATTGGGGTCATTTTGCGGCAAGGCCAGGCGTTTCAACTGGTGGGCTAAAGATGTCATTGTGTCAGGTTCTCAAGATCTGTTGGGAGAGGCAATCATTATAACGTTACCTTTGACACGTGTTGCATGTTTCTAGTACTAACGTTAGCTAGCTAGCGAACGTTGGCTAACCAAAGAGTCGTATCTGTGCCCAAACTGTTAGCTAGCATATTTTTTGCCGGCTACTAGTCCGTGTTTAATAAACGTCCAGCTTTGATAACCGAAGCTATGCGCTACTACATTCATATGGTCATTTAAAAACACAACATAGGAGAAATATAAAACAATATTATTGTAGAGTTAGTTGGTACTGTACCTCGGTTCCGCACTCCTATTTTCCCACACGTGCGTTTTCTCTGACCTCTCTGACCGTATTCCAATCCGGTTCACGACATGTACTTCAAAATAAAAGTGGCCAAACCAGAACCCTTCTCTATTTCTTCAGTAAAAAAAAGTATATACTCTATTCAATGCAGTGAAAATACACAGCAGTCATCGTAGAGAGTTTAAATAACATAAAAATCCTTTGTCAGTGATAAGAAAGCGAAAGTCGTATAGCCCCCTCTGTTCAACTCCAGTCCACAGGCGGCGGGTAAAGCACCAGTGAAGTTTGTTTACCGCCGGCATAAAACAGAAGAAGAAGATATAGGTCTACGTCACCGTTGACCGCGAAGTAGAGAACTGTCGTCGATACTCGTGTGATATTTCATTTTCGTTCGGGTTTTATCATGGTTATTGTGAGAGTCCTGTGTAAATGAAATGTTATTTGTGTTTGTAAGGATTCAGAGATTCGTTGTATTTGGACGGTTTTGGAGCGCTTGCCAAGAAACCTTTACTGTCAAACTGCAACAAGAGTGAACTAACGTTAGCTAACCGGTCAGCTGTCAACGATATATAGTTAGCAGCGCGTCCATCGTGTGGCAACATTTACCCGTATATATAAATCTCCTAGCTACATTGACATTAAGGTAAGTGGACACATCCATGCACAGTATATAATATTAACTACTTTGGCAAGCCGCTACATTTATCCCAATACAAAGTCACGTTGGAAAGTTTGACAGTTCATTTTTCGCGGGATCCCGCCCACTGCAAATTGCCATTGGACGTGATGCTCCCAGCCTCCTTTGAACCGTGCACTGATTGGTTCAAGTTTGAAAAGGCTACTGAAGTGACATTTGACATTCTGCCTGCCTGTACAATTTACAAAGATGATATGTGATTGCGTACCAGACACCGGTGTGTACATGAGTAGCACATTCTGGATGAGAGAACAAGCAACACTAGTACTAGTAGGAGCAACGACCAGTTGTTTCTCCCGCTTTGTTGGGGGAAGCCATTTTGGAATTGTGATTTTGTAATGACTAGGGATATTTTTTGTTATTTTAATTTTTTACAGCTGATAGCTGACTACTCTTGTACGTACTGCAAAGTGCCCACACTTTGAGGGATACTGTTTATATTGGGTAGTTTGAGGCTGAGCAGTTCACCCACGCCCACTGGCTGGTCTACACGGTGACTCACGCGTCTGTATGCGGCATGAAGTCAGCTCATTTTCGCTGCAGCTCTCCTGATCTTATTCTGTGGATTTACAAGTTGTATTCACAAAAGGCAAGTTAATTATGTATTTGAATATCAACATGGTGAGAGTTGCTTGATAACTAGGCTACTCTATACTTCATACTCGGTCTATACACTCTGTTTGTGAACCTCACTGATACTTTCTTGTCTAAATTCAGTCTGACAGCTTTCTTTGTTTTTACTACATGTGTGTGATGTGACTGGAAGTTAGGCTAGTTTAAAAATGGTGACAGTTCAGAATAGTTGTTTATTTAATTCATAGTCATACAGGTTACCTACCTGGGCGGCAGGTAGCCTAGCGGTTAGAGCCAGTAACCGAAAGGTATTTGGTTCGAATACCCGAGCCGACAGGGTGCAAAAAATCAAGGTACTTAATTAACCCTAATTTGCTCCAGGGGCGCCGTACTACTATTGCTGACCCTGTAACAACACATTTCACTGCATTATCCAGTGTATGTGACGATAAAACATAAAAAAAAAAAAAAATTGGGGGGGTCTACAAATATTCTCATTGTTATTTTGTATAGAGAGAGGAAATATGTGTAAGTTTACAGATGAGGATTGCTTATTACATCTTTAAAATAGGTCTTTGTGTTTTTACTATGTATTTCCCGACAACTCATGTCCCCCGGCTGTCTGTGGTTCTGAGTAGTACAGATCCCGCCCAGCCCTCTGGCATCACTCTGTGTCTGGGTGTGACTTGGGTAAACAATTGCACAGCCCTATACTTAAGTGCCATTAGAAAAGGCACCCTCTCATGATGCAGCAAAATATCTAGTTTCTGGGTGTCTTTTGAGGCAATTTATTAAGCAGAAATTGGTTTTGGGGTGAGCAGTTAAAAGCATTATTTATACTCATTTAACTGCTACCTTCCATACAGTTAAGAGCTCGTCGTATTGTTTGAATTAATGCAAAGTCAGTCAGTGGCAGGCAGCCTTTACTCAAACTTCTGTGTGTGTGTGTGGCTATATATGCAGTGCAGCCCTTTAGTATTTCAGTGTAGTAAAATCATGGAGGTCTGGATTTGGGAGATAATGCAGCAAGAAAAACAGGAGACCAGGGTTCAAGTTAAAAATAGTTTGACAGGTCAACTGAATACAGGAAGCCAAAACTGACCCCTTTACTGGTGCAGACTGCAGAGAGAACGACTGAACAATACTGTGGGGGTTGATGGGGTGAATATGTACTACTGGGTTGTAAAGTCTCATGGTTTGGCTCTTGCAGTCTCATTACTGAGAAATTGGAGGCTGGACAGGCATGGACCATTCAAAAGTGAACTCACGCGCCCCACCTCGAGGGAACACTGGCTATACCTACTCTCACAGGTGAGTGTGCATGCAGTGCTACCCGTCTCAAGGTCCTGAAAGAGGGATGTCCTGAATGATTTCTATAGCAACTTTCCTTTTAGGGGGTTCCAAAACATTTTCACTTGGGGGGGCCCCCTTCCAGTATTGAGGAACAGCCCGTGCCCGTTTCACGTCTATTATTTCTATGGGCACAACCACTGTTCATGAGACAAACTGTGCACATCCCTCTTGTTGGTTGAGAGAATTTTGCAGCCCCACTGTTTGGGAACCACTGGTTTAGTGGACGGTGAGCATACATTTGCTTTTTTGTGTCAAATACCCTAGTGCTTTTTGCTCTGATCAAGGGCTTGTTTCAACAAATCACACTGGTAGGACTTGCATGCATAACTTTCTCAAATGTTAATGTTGATTTGAAATGTCATTTGAGGAACTGTAGCCCAAGGTGGTTTCGGCTAACATTTTGGCCTAACAAAATAAATATCACGATTTAGGGTAGTTGAATTAAGATTTTATTCATAGAGATTACAGCTCTCATTCTGAGCAGGGTTTATATAGTATTATGGAACCTCTCCACATTTATTTGGCAATGTTCCCCTTACTGAAAAAGAGAAGTCCAAAGCGGATATGTGTGTGTCGCAGAGCCACTGGTTTGTTCTTTGGGACTGGGTGTGTCTGTCTGCGTTGTCATGTGTGACTCAGAGAGGGTGTAGATGTTGGCGCTGTTGTACTGGACTTGACAATATTAGCCATTTGATTTCACCATCTGCTCTGAGAACATAAGCCTGAAAGACAAGTGCTCCTATACATTTTTCTCTCAGTTCTTTGCAATTGCGTTCAGTCTAGCTTAGCTAATAAAACAGCAAGAATGTTTTGATTTCACTTGCCTCCAAATGGCAGATTTACGTACCACTAGGGCTGTCCCAGACTAAAAATAATCTTGGTCGACCAAGAGTCTTCTGTTCTTTCGACCAATCGATTGGTCTATATTTTTAAATGTGTATTTTAAAAAATATTGACACATCCTATATGTTTGAATCAAATCAACTATATACACTGAGCTTGTCTGATGCTTTAAGCACACGGTTTGATTAAATAATTAAGACACACAAATGACTAGAGGAAGTCCGACCAGCAATTTTATTTGGTTGTGCTGTGCCGGTCTCAGACTTGCTGTGCTGTGTGGAGTAAGTAAATAAAAGACTGTGACTAGCACCCGTTGTCTCTCTCCTCCCTGCTGCAGCGACCACCACAGAACATTAAAGTGTTTATCGCGCTCTCCGTGTTGCTGAAACATAATTACAGCCATTTCTGACTGAAAAGTTCTGTTTCCAAAATCCCTCATTTGTTTAGGAAAAATATTCCCTCAACCCTTGCTCGCTTTACGTGACATGTATGCATCGCATACACGTGACCAAAGACCTGTTCGCACGGACTAGTATTACAAGAGAACGTTGGTTATATAATTATTATTCCAGAATGTCCATTATTCCAGAGGACGATTCGGACAGGATTCGTTTTTTCCAAACTGCCCCCTGTAATTCTTTATTTTCCCCCAATATATTGACAGTTATGACGCAAGCCTGGAGGTTTTTATTCTAGGCGTGAAGATGCAGTATTTCAACATGTCCAGGTGATAGGGCCACACTGATAACTCAAGCTTGTTTCTAAACCATTCCAAACCATTCTATTTCCTATAGTGTCGCTATAATATTTCAATTGAGGAAGTGTGATCATAATCATTAGGATATTTTAGCGATCCGCAGTACATCCTAAATGCCCCCCAGCCTTGAGATGCATTTTAAGGCTATGGATGAGAAAGCTAACTTATCATTTCCGAACGTTTAGGTCAGATGTATGCTGCTGCTTTGCGATCTATTAACGGCAAGGGATGCATTTGGCAATATTCCATTCATACGCATAAAACATATCAACAAATTAGTGTTAAGTTGCGTCAATTCAAATCTGGTATAGGAACAAAAAGAGGTCAATGCACGTCTTCTAAAATAGACTAGTATTTTAATTAATGCAAACACTTGAATGGTCAATATGATGTTCGTATATACGGGCCCACTGAAAAACCACGCAGGGCAGTCAGAGAACTGAGCCATTGTTATAAGTTCTTCTTTAAATACTCTGACAGAGATAGTTCCTGCTCCCTGCTGGGCCTGTCAGAGTAGAGGCTGGGTGTGGTTTAAACTTACCCAACCTATCGATGGGGCACAGGCTGGTCCCAGACCCTTGGTGCTTCACTGTTGCCGGGCATTAGTTGTTATCTTTACAACTTGTCTCGAGTCAGCAACCTCAGACATAGTTTGTTCTTCTTCATTGTAGCAGAACACATGTCATTGAGCGGTTTAACAAAGAGGCAGTGTGTATGTGAGTCACAAGTCTGTCTCAGCCTACCCCCTAACGGTTCCTCACATTAATCACAGCTTGTTATGTTAAACAATCTATATCAGTACAGCACAAACCGATTATGTTTAATCATTAATGTATTCTTTCTAAGCTAGGCAT